ATGTTTTTTGGCCTAAACATTCAACATTAGTGCGTTTGGTAGCGAATTATTAGATCGGCATCTGGGAAAAATTCATATAGATATGTATATAAACTTGTTTTTACATGTATTTGGTGTTAATTTTTACCTGCAAGCATTTAGAACATTCTCAGGATATGAGGTACAGGTACATGCTGAGTATATGACTTTTAGTATCTTCTAAGAATGTCCTGTTATAGCACGTGCTCAGTATATACTTTTTGGAATATACTTTTAAGGCACGTACTCAGTATATACTTTCTAGAATATACTTTCAAAGTATATTCTAGGTATGTTCTAAGAACATTCTAAAAGGATATACTAAAAAGAACTTATATTCATCGAACATTGATGTTATGTGGGTTGACAGCAAGTTAACATGCAACTCGCATTTAGAAAACAGAGTTAAAAGAGCATACATTGCTTATGAACAATGCCGCCGAATCATGGGACGCACCTGGGGTTTCATCCCCAGAGTCGTCGCATGGACTCACACGGCTATCATAAGACGTATTTTCGGAGCTATGGCAACTGTTATTTCGATTTATTTTTCTCACTGTTTCCCCTTTCCATAATGCCATACTTTCATAATTGTTACAAAGGGTAATGGTTTTATGAGCTCTTAAAAATAAATACTTCATAATATTATTTTCATTGTTCAATAAAGTGGTATTTTACTCTTTGTTAGATCGTATCATATGTACATCTTGAAAAATATCAACTGAAGTCACATGTACATGACAGTATTTATTTTAAAAGCGAATAAAATCATAACCTAGTATTAGCCTACGAAGGAATGGCACTTGTAGAAAGAGGAAATAGTGGACTTTCAAATTAAGAAAAAATATACAAGGTACTGTATTTGAAACAATATAGTGTCCTATCCCTGAAAATATGAAATGTCATATTCGGTTAGATTGGAAGTAAGCCAAAAATAAAGATGAATTAGGGTGGAGCGAAAACTTGACCGAAACAAGTTATTTTCGAAAACAAATATGCCTGGGTGTGCAAAAGATGCCTTTCGAGATTCTTATTTACCCACAAAAATCCTAATGAGTTATGACGATTACAACGGCTGCCGAAATGACCTTGAAAATTTAAAAATCTTTAAAACTGCAAAAAAGCAAACATTCTGCTCCCAGCTAGTTTTGCTTGAAAAACAACCTAGAACTTACCACGTGGAGGTGGCTGTATCTCGAGTTTCACCCTACTTACTAATAAAGCTAAACAAGTGCCTGGCGCCATGCTTACCACACCAGTGGCATTTAATTTCGAACCAGCACTCGGTATACACTTTTACTATGAACTCTGTTAACATTTTAAGGCTTTGAAAGTGCTCATTGGTATAACCTTAGGACTCTTTTGGGTGTGGTAAGCCATCTAAAGTGTGACATTTTCCTGCCGCTTTTAGAGCCAAATCGCCTTTTAAAACTCCAGTGGAGATTCCTTGACACATCTCGTAGATATACTTAGCATCGTTACTTACGGTATTAGATCAACTAAAGGTAAAATTGTCTCAATTTTCTCAAACTGTACGACTGGTAAATGTTCACACGATTCAAGGGTCTTACCAATGCCTCCCGCAAATCCTTTGGGCCCAGTAGTTTTTCCGTCTAAATAATTCATTAAGTGGTGAAACTGCAATTCGTTAGTGTGTAATAAACAAATCATCCATTGCAATGGCCTTTTTAAATCCCATTCAACAGCTCGAATCACTTCGTTTTTAAATCCGGTATTTACCATGGTTCCGTCACAACCAACGGCCACAAGTTTATTTAAATCAATATTTTGTTTTGTAAAAAGTTGATTATCGATGTCTTAATTGCTTTGGTATTGCCAAATGTTGGTCTAACATGTCCAAAATATCTCGATCTTGGTTCAAAAACTAGAACATATAAATCTTCAACAACTGTTTTTTGATAATCTATTTTCTCTTGGATTAACGTCTTATTTTTGCGCCCATCAAACTACATTGCCTTAACTTCAAAAGCATCGTCACCAAATTTTCTTTTCAGGTTGCTGCGACTTTTATTTCTAGCCCTCCTTATGTTATTACGATCTACAATTTTTGTAGAATCAGTGTGTGATACAATACCATCGTCTTTTAGTATGGCACTTGCTATAATTGCCGCTGATCTGTCAGAAACTCCTGTGCAGTCGCAAGTTTCTACATTTGAGCAGAGGATGATGATTTGGTGATTTGACAACTCGCCAAAAGGCCGATTGCCATAGAAATTGACGGATAATACTCTCTAGGTTCTTTTTGGTCACGTTCACGTTGTTGCTTTATTTTTGGCTTTCTTTCCTTTGATTTATCTTCTGAGAACAATGGTTTGATGGAAGTTGACTGTCTGGCTAATGCCTTTAATTATCGAAATTTTAAAGCGGTTTCGGCAGCCGAAGATATTGTTTTCTGGCGTTGTTTTTTTTTTGCTTACTAACGAGTGCAATAAGCACCTATTAAGCATACAGGGTAGTCGAATTTAAATAAATCGAAAATTCGTTAAATTGAAAAATATGTTAATTACAGAAATTTTAAGGTGGTTTCGGCAGCCGAGGATATTTTTTTCTGACGTTCAGTTCTTTTTAGATTACTAACGAGTACAATAGGCACCTATTAAGCATACACGGTGGTTAAATTTCCAGAAATGGAAAATTCGCTCCACCATAATGAATACACAGAAAATAAATATAAAAATTTGGAGAGAGATGAAAACTACATTTCATTATCTCAACTAGTTCAAAAGTTACATAGGTTTAAAAAGTGTTAAAATATAACAGACACTCGATATTTCAGGAATTTCTAGAAATGTTTAATCTAAAAAAACAACAAAAATGTTCTATTATAATTAAAGTACCTTTAATAGTTTATGTACAATTAAACACCTTGATTAACAGAAAAAACAATATAAATATACATAGAACCTTAAATTGATATACTTTTTAAAACTGCAGAAATTGTAGGCAATAAAAATATTCACCTTTAATAGGTTGAAAAAAAAACGTGGAAAACTTACTAGGTAGAAATAACTTCGATCAAAAAGTGAACTAATATATTTTATTTTAGTCATTTGTACCTGCTTGAAAGCGAACTCTAGCTTCTTGGAATCATATCACCAGTCATTACAGAAAATAAACGGGAACAGCATCTAAAAAGATTTTAAACAACTATGTTTTCTATTAATATTAAATTCAATTTATTACCTTTAAGGATTTATTTTATTTAATTTTAAATTTGTTAGTTTAAAATTTCCTCTTGCGAACAACATAAGTAAATATTTTTTCCAAACCATGACTAATCGCTACTTTTTACAGGTACATAACCAATTTACCTAAAAATTAATAAGAATTAGTTTTTAAGAAGGTCGTCACAATATTAAAAACATCTTTTGACTTTGGACCAAGCATTTTATTTCAATATATGAATGTTATACATGCCCATGGTATAAAAAATAAAATACATAACTACCTACCAGTCTTCTAAAGCTCTCCATAGTTTTCATTTCATTTTAATATCTGCCGCAGTGCGGCACAACTAAAGAGCAAAATAGTAGGTTTTTGTACCTTCTTTGGCCCATCATTAAGTATTTTGATGTATTTTTAATAACTATCTTCTCCAACTTGTTTCTAAATATTGTCCAATGAATTGGAGTGGGGTAGAAAACCAATGTACATATTGTATCAATCACATACTTTGATTACTATACGGTGCAAGAGAAACGTCCGAAACGCCCAGCATAGAGCGCGGCCATTTTGATGCAATTACTACTAGGTTAGGCAACACATATTTTTCCAAAATGTTAAACTGTAAATTTGATTATTTCGGAGTAATCAAATAATCGATTAGATCATTTGATATTATTTAATTTTTAATCTTATATTCGATTGCTATTAATTTATCGATTATTAGTAATTACTAATTACATAATAATAAAATGATCTAGCGATCGTTTTATAATATCGAATTATCAATAGAAATGGGCGATTATCAAAATAAACTATCGATTTTTTTTTAATTAATTAAATAATCAATTACTAATCGATGATTTTGCCCACCCATTCTACCAATATAAGTGATACGTTAAAAAGTGTAAATAAAACATTCTCATACAAACGTTTAAATCATTATTTATTATTAACTAAAATAATATATTACACTGGAATCACGAGTCTACACTTATAATACAACTTTGTCCTTTTAAAACCTATACAATAAAAAAAAATCATACTATGAACATAAACAATACAATAAAATATACAAAACCGAAGTGAATCCAGAATTAAAAATAGCACTCACTATAATACAATTATTTTTTATCATTTTCCGCTTATTAGTTTGGAATAAATCTCTATAATGGCTCCTTTGGCAATGTTATTAATAATTTTTTTAATTCAATAAGTCCGATTAACCTAAATTGTTAGTAAAATAAATCAATTAGCTAAATAAAAGATATATCTAATCTAAAGCATACTTCGGAATTATCTTGGAAGCGGGCGGCTGTTACGTAAATAATTTTACAAAAAAAAAAAAACTATTTTAATAACGCCACCACCAGCTCCGCTTTTTGAAGTATGAACAATTCAAGATCATTAGCACCAAAAAAAAACAACTTGACATGCGTCAAAACAAACGTCAAAGTCACAGAATGTGGAACTGTCAATGGTCAGAAGTCGCGAATCGTAAATCTGTCAAACGTCAACGTCGTTTCGTCCCAATTGCTCTAATAGTTTATTTGTCTCAATTAACGTATGAAACTGTCATTATAGTCAATATTCTCAATTACTTATGTGCATTTTTCTCGTAGAGGTACTCTTTTTGGCCACAGATCATTAGCACTAAACAACTTGACATGCGTCAAAACAAACGTCAAAGTCACATGTGGACTGTCGATGGTCAGAAGTCACGAAATATAAAATGTCAAACGTCAACGGCGCAAATTGTCCGGCGCTTCATCGTAACATCTAAACCTATTATAGTCAATTGTCCCAATTAATTTTAAAAAAATGCTCAATAAATTGAATTGAGATAAAAAGAATGTTAAAAGAAATCATTTGAATAAACAAATGTGCATTTTTTCTCGTAGAGGTACCCATTTAGGCCAAGTGACGATGATTATTGAAATTATTTCGTAATATTTTGAGAAAAAAAGAAAAACAAACTTATTAGTTTTTTAATCCTTATTGTAATTTCCACATACCAATATTTTCACGACTAGAATTCACACAAAAAAAAATCAGTAGTTCATACATAACAAATTGATCATAATTAATTGAACTTAAAGTATTTAAGTATGACAGCTGAATCGTTTGCATATTGTTAAAAATAAAAGTGAAATTATTGTCATTTAAATTTTTAATGACAATTGACAGTTTTGAAAGATTACAATTTGGAAGTCCGTTCTGAAACAGTGTCAAAGAACGTGTAAGTCAATTGCATCGATGCCATACCTGCGATAATGCATTTTTCTATAAGGATGGTTGTCAGATATCTAAACTCACGTACAGATGGAGCACAATCGATGTAAAAATGTTGAGAATAGTTCCAAATTAATATAAACACCCTTTTTAAACGATTCAACCATCACACCAGCAAAATTTTAATCTCCAGACAACCCTCCTTTCATCACATCTCGCGGCAATTACAACCGTGTCCGCAAATCCAAAACGCCGCAAAAACGATCGGCCATTACGCGTGCGCCCCTCCGTCTAAACTAGAATTAGTGCTAACCGCATCCACCTGCACAACGTCGACTTTGACGTTGACGTCGAAATTGACGTTCTTGCCGCTGCTGGTCGACGCTTCGAACGGATTGGTCGACGCTTCTAAAGGATTAGTCGAGCACATGACGTCGTCGGAGGTCGTGCTGCTTGAGCAGTCGCCGTAAGAGGCCGAACTGCTCTGAATACTCTGGTAATCCCCGTTGATGCTGTGATGACCGGAGGTGGTCACGAAGTTGGCGGTAGCTGCTCCCGAAGTTTGAGATATAGACCTAGAATGGAGTAAAAGAGAATCAAAATTTAATGTTCATTTATTTAAATATATTTTCTGCTATAACTAGTTTTCTTTCAATTTTACGGTAAAAAGGTAGTATACAAAATTGAAGGTAATTAAAATCTCCGTCATCCCTTACAAATATGTTTTTCCTCGGACCTACAGTTTCCTGGTAAAAGCTGCGCAAAGATGAAAAATTATCTTACTTAAAAATATTTGTCAATGGGAAAAAGCAGGGTTGAAATAACGCTATTCATATGACTGTGATAGGTGTCACAAAAAAATATTTTAAAATGTCAAAAGTTTTGGAAACTCAAAATGTTGAGACAAAAATACTAAAATTTTTAGAAAAAAGATCAAAATAAAAAACATTTTGGGAGATGAAATCAATTATTTTTTAAAAAGTAGAGAAAACAAATACAGAAGATCTGCCAGACACGGTCAAAGACAATGAAAAACTTCCTCGGAACCTTATGATTTTGACTTTATTTCTCAAAATTTTGCTTTTTCTCAAATGTTGACTTTATTTTTCCAAAATGTTGACGGTCAGAGACAAAAACCCTTCTCGTAATATTATAATTTGCTATATGGATTATGGATATTATTGATATTGGATATTATTCATCAACATTTTGAATTTTTGAGATTTTCTCAAATTTTTTAATTTGTTAAATACATTTTTTGACTATTTCTTCAAATTTTAACATTTTCCTCAAAGTTTTTACTTTTCCTTAAAATTTTAATTTTCTTAAATTAGAGTTTTTTCTCAAATTTTTGATTTTATCTTCTAAAAATTTTAAATTAATTTTTAAAATTTTAACTAATTTTCTAAAAAAATTAAGGATCAAAGAACAAAGACAATGGTTTAGCAAACAGATGAATATTAATTTCTCAAAAATTTGACTATATTTCCCAACATTTTCAATTACCTTCTAAAATTTATGAATTAAATTTTTCTCAATTTTTTTACACTTGTTCTAAAAGAATCTGCCTGTCATGGTCATGACAGTAACTCCTTGGAATCTTATGATTTCGTTAATAAAAAGTTGACTTTATTTTCCAAAATTTTGAATTTTTCATCAAATTTTTGACTGTTTTCCTAAAAATCTTGACATTTACTCAATTCTTTACTTTATTTTCTAAAAATGTGGACTATTTCTTAAAATTTTAAAATTTTCTCAAAATTCTTAATTTTCCTCAAAATTTTAACTTTATTTTCAAAATTTTTATTTTTTAAATGTGACTTTCTTCTCTCAAATTTTTACTTTTTTAAAATTAGATATTTTTCTTAAATTTTTGATTTTATTTTCCCAAAATTTTACCTTATTTCTCAAATTTTAAGTTTTTTTTTATTTTAATTTGAAAAATCTGTCATGGTCAAAGACAAATAAAAACTTTCTGAAATCTTATGATTTGGTATCAAACAGATATTCTCAAAAATTTATATTTTTTTCCTCAAACTTTGGACTTTTTTCCTAAAATATTTCATATTTTCTCAAATTTTTTCATTTATTTTCTCAAATTTTTGGTAATTTCTTAAAATTGTAACATTTTTCCTCAAAATTATTTTTCACAAATTCTTGTCTTTATTTTCTCAAAATTTGGACTTTTTTTTTCTAAAATTTGAAGGATTATCTGCCACAGTAAAAGACGAAACTCCTTGGAATATTATAGTTTACCTTTATTTTCCAAATTTTTTATTTTTTTTCTCAAATCTTTGAATTATTTCCTAAAAATTTTGACTATTATTTCAAAATTTTGATTTCCTTTAATTTTTTTTAATTTTCTTTATTTTCTCAAATGTTTTACTTTATTCTCTCATTTTTTTCACTTTTTCTTAAAATTTGTACTTAATTTTTCAACATTTTGATTCTCGTCGTAAATCCACGCTAGTTTTAAAAACAAAAATGTTACCATTTACCAAACAATTTCATACAACCTCTCTTGTAGGGTAGCGTTTTGTCATATCCCATAAGGAAATATTTCATCAACGTTTTCTGTTTGTCTTACCTGATAGCTCTTTGGAATGGATTTTCGGACTGCGGCTGGAACGTGCCCCCTTGCGTGCCGCCTCCGGTTCGGTTATTTATCAGTGGCGTCGTGTCATCGGTGTCAGTCTCGCTATCCGAATCCGAACGCGTCTCATTGATGCCCCAGATGCTGCGCTTGCAGATCGGGCACACCCGTCTGTTCTTCGTCAACCACGGGTCTATACATTTCGTATGGTAAACTGCGACAAACAATTCGATGTATCGTTTAAAATTTGAAAAATACAACTTTCACTTTTTCTCTCAAATTTTTAATCTTTTTCTCAAATGGTACTTTATTTTGAGTTTTTTCTCGAAAATTTTGACTTTTTCAACATTTTTACCTTCTCCCAAATCTTTTAATTTTTTTTTTTTTTTTTTTCGAAATTTTGACTATTTCTCAAAATATTGTTTTTCTCTCAAAATTTTTAGTTCCCCGTTTTCAAATTTTTTACTTTTTCAAAATTTTAGCTCTATTTCTCAATATTTTTAGTTTTTTTTTTTTTAATTTTGATATATCTGAAAACATCTTTCTCAAAGCGTTCACTTTATTTTTCTCATAAATCTGACTTTATTTTTCTCATAAATTTGACTTTATTTTTCAAAATTTGGATTTTCTTTTTCAATATTTTTAATATTTTTCTCAAAACGTTAATTTTTTCTCAAAAATTTTAAGATTGTTTTTTCAAAATGTGAAGTTGTTTAAAAGATGAAAAATTGCGACTTTCACTGCGATTGTACACTTACCGTGGTTGCATGGAAGGACCCTCAATTTCTCTCCATCTACGTAGTCGTCCAAACAAATAGCGCAAGTTTCGTAAGGATCGCCCTTCTGAAACTTGTGAGTCGGTATTTTATTTAACACAGATTTAGGCAATCGATTTCGCCTTTGTCGTCTCCTGTCTTTCAAAAATTTCCATACCTACAAGTATTTATTCATTTATACCCTCTTCTTGATATCGAAACGTTTAAAGTCTAGATTTTGGTTCTAAACTGTACCTTTTGACTTATTATAATCCCAAAATGTATAGATTAAAGTAAATATGTATATATTAAGGTCAAAATGTATATATTAAAGTCAAAATGTATAGATAAAAGTCGAAATGTATATATTAATGTCAAAATATATATATTAATGTCAAAATGTTTAGATTAATGTCAAAATGTATATGTTAAATTCAAAATCTATAGATTACAGACAAAATCTATAAATTAAAGTCAAAATATATGATGTCAAAACTCAAAACATTACAGACTGCAAGCAGTTTAAAGTCTCAAATTTACAAGTAGAAGTATATAGTCACAATCGTTTCATTGGATCGTATTTGAAGGGTTAGTGTACAGAGTTTAAAATGTAGATCTCTGATTGCTAATGGATGTTACTAGATTTCAACATCAAGATATTAGAGTTCAAAGCAGAAATGTTTTAAGAAAAAGTGTATACTAAAAATAAGTTTAGACCATATAAATTCAATATCAAGATATAGAGTTAAACGTAGAGATATTATAGAGTTTAAAGTCGAGATGTTAAAAAACAAAGTCCATATTTAAAATATATTTAGACTATGTTGAAGTTCAGAGTCGTGATGTTTGAATAAAAAGTCGATATTAAAAATAAGTTTCGGCCATATTAAAGTTCAATGTCGGGATCTAAAGTCACATCTCAACATAACGAGTTAAATAACGAGATCTAGAGTTAAATGTGGAGTTAAATATCGAGATATTGATTTCAATGAGAAGTTATAGAGTAAAATATCTGTAAGAATAGAGTTCTTACCATAAAAACAATCATAACTATAAAACAAATCCCAACGACTATGGCGAAGGGTACCAACAAATGCGTCGGAATATCAAACGGCGTGTCGCCGTTAATAACGACGAAGAAGCTCGGATTGTTTGCGTACTTGTTCAACATCTCCATCCCAGACTTCTCGGCGACGAATACCGACGGTATGAAGATGCCCGTTTTGTTCCCGGCCCCCATCGGGACCAGATCATCCGAGTCTACATTGTAAACTATAGCTGCATCGAAGCCTGCAGCTTGAGCAATGCGGACCTTCAGTTCAAACGAGCATTTGGAGGTGTTTGTGAACCTCCTGATCAGGACTATCCATTTGCCGATCTCATTTTTTTGGTTGTTCGGCGGAGGTTGGATCTCTGAGCACGCCGTCGATGGGTTGGCTTCGATAAGCATGCCTGCTAGAGCTGAAAAAAAAAGATGTTAGGTGTAACTTCCATCTTCCATAGTCGTTGATTAAGCGAAAATGCTCTAAGTCGTTTTAAAAGAAGTAAAAAAGAATCCCACTGGATGTATTATGAAAAGTTACGAAAATTAACTAACCAAGCTGCATCTCATAACAAAGAAAAATAATCTGTCAACTAAAACAATTTATGAGATATTAAAAAAATAACATTAATTCTAATGATAAAAATAATGAATTTCATACTTGTCATCCATACCTTGTTTAATATGCGAATGTATAAAAAAAAAGTGGGAAAATCCAGATCCGGCTTAGCTATAAATGCACAAATTCCTTCACATTGAAAACAAGACCCTACCTGATTTCTTATAATTCGTATCAACATTTAAAAAGATCACAAACAACTGAATTCAATATTTCAGTATTTTTATTTGGGGGCAGATGATTTTACTGCTCAAATTTTGAACTCAAATTCTTATTTCTTAGCATTCTCAGGGAAAAAAATGGAATAGGACTTTAAATTGAGATTATTTAACCTAACTAGGTCAATTTTTAAAATCTACACGTATTAAGTTGATTCTGGTTCCCATTTCCACCACAACATAATGTAATTACAATCATTTCGAACATCCTGTATAATGATTATTCAAAATTTTTATTTTTTATAGTGGTACCCCAAGAAACCTAATCCAGACTATCAAACAAAATAAAAACCAATAGTAACTAAAGAAAAATATTAACATTGGTACAACAACCAATAAGAACATCAACTAATGGAAGAAGGAAAAAGACCTAATTGTTATTATAAAACTACAACAATTGCTAAAAATTACCACCCTTTCAACAGATACCCTTTCTTGCTCTTTTTAAAATCTGTCATATAGATTTTCTAATCACATGTGAATAATTTTTATTTTTGCACTTGCGTCTTCCATTCTTTGATGCAGCTCTTCCCTACTATTTATTTCAAGTATCCCAAAATGTAGTAATCAACAGGATTAAAATCAGGCGATCTCGAAGGGCAGGTATGAGGTCCGCCTCTGCCTCTCCATGTATTAACAAAGTTGTTTTAAAAATTACTTCAAATGAGCTAGTAATAGAGAGAGACGACATTGTGTTGAAAGTATATATAGGTGATATCTGCATTCTCAATATTAAACAACCCTGACAAAATAGTTTTCGCCGTTCAAAACAAAGAACACAATGGTACCAGGGGGGCCTATTTTCAAACTATGGCTTTACTAAATTTTCTAAAGATTTTATAAAAAATGTCCTATATCAACGTGGAAACAATATTTTGAAAGCCAGTAAGAATTAAAATTTTTGTTTTCCTACTTTTAGGGTGAAAGAGTTTGTACATTTTTAGCTTAGCTGGGCCTAAATTCTTTCACTTGTTTTACATTGCTATATTTGATAAGATGTGGATGACAAGTGTACCAAACATCAAAAAAAAATCTACATCAAAGTTATGAATAAGGAAAGAAATAGACAAAATTGATAAACGGCCAAAGACCCAATAAACAGGGGTTATTTAGAATCACAGTTAACATATGTCCGTTTCCCAATGAATCACCCTATATATTTCCTATACTACTCAAGGTAAGCCATTTTTTAATTTTTTAAATTGCTTGTATAAGAATATAAAATATAATAAATATAAAAATACATTCATTTGAATAAAAATTAAAAATGTTTGAATGCAGATGTTTCATTTTTTATATAATTTTTTCTTCACCAATAATTATTGATTATAAGTACTATAAAAAAAAAATACAATTAGACATACCTTGATCCTTCAAGTTTGGCCCAAACAAGGCAGGTTTATCAGCAAACTCCTCGCGATAAAACTCAGAATCCTATAATAAAAATAAAAAGTATTACAACAAGCGTCATAAATCATAAAAACAATCTCTTCCTGTTTACATAACCTTTTTATAAGCAAAATTTAATTTTAATTTAATTCCTGATAATAGAACGATGTTTGTATATATAAATATTGCAAATAAAATAATAACAACACAATATGTCTTTCAAGGTATCAATTTCAAAAATGGATAAAATTGGTTAATTCAGTGGGATTTCGAAAAATGTAATAAGTAGATTGTAATTTATTTAAATGATGTCTTGAAAAATCTATTCCACAATTTCACAATTTTTTCAAATTTAGAACTATTGGTTATGAAATGATAAGAAAATAAGAGCCTATCAGATTACTAAAGATATAAATGTATACCCTGCAATTTATTTAAATGGGGTCTTTAAAAATCTATTTCTATGCTTTTTTGCTCAGATTCACATAATTAAGAACTCAAATCATTTGGTTTTGAAATGGTTATTTAAAAAATTAATAAATAAAAATTTCAACTTTGACACATCGTAAATTTAAGACCCTGTAATTTATTTAGATGGGGTCTTGAAAAATCTATTTCTGCATTCTTTTTGCAAAATTTCTCCAAATTTAGAAATCATAGTCCTATTGGTTTTGAAATGGTAAGAAAATTAATGTGTATCAAATTATTAAAAATAATGATGCCTAGTAATTTAATATCCAGTAATTCATTTATATTTTGTTTTTAAAAATCCATTTCTATGCTATTTTTTACAGATTCACAAAACTTAGAACTCACATATCATCTGGTTGTACGAAGTAGAAGGGCATAGGTAGATGCAAAATAAGCAAAAAAATAATGTATCAAATCAAAGAAAAAAATACGTGTTGCACTCGGGGACTGCCGCGGTAAAGCTATTGCATAGCATTTTTTATCAACTTAAGCAATTATAATTATTTATTTATTTTATTTATGCAGTATTTTTTTTCTTTGATATTAATTGAAGTTTTTTCTTTGATATTAATTCAAGTTACACTTTTTGAGCGTGGTGACCGATAAGAAAACATTTTTTTTTCTTTTATTGAATAAATGAGAAGTTAATATTTTTTAAAATATTTTTATTATCTTACAATATACATATGTAGGTTATTCAGGAATTTTTATCATTGAAACTATAGGTTTATGGTAACCGAAATAAGAAACATAAGTTTAAGACTTGATATCCTCTAAATATCTGGAAAATACCGCGTCAATGGTGGTCCCATATTTTGTTGTGGATTCTTGTGGATTATTATTAATTTTCAAATTCAATTTTTCTGAAATTGTGTCTAAAAGAGATAGAATCAGTTATGAGCAGTTAGCAGCTAGTCTACACACATACGTCTAGTCGCACGCACACAAACACCGTGCCGATGTCTGCCGAACTGAAACGACGTTAGACGATGCACGGCTTTCAACGCCTTACCGCTGTGCCAGTCGGAGTGGGGGGTGTTAGGTTTATTTTCGTTAAGGAATTTCTTTTTCGATTTTTTGATTTTCCGATTTTTCGGTTTTTTGATTTTTCGATTTTTCGTTTTTCCGGTTTTTCGGCTTTTCGATTTTTCGGTTTTTGGATTATTGGATTTTTCGATTTTCTTTTATTGAATAAATATGAAGTTAATATTGTTTAACGCCGCACCGCTGTGCCGGTCGGAGTGGGGGTGTTAGGTTTTTTTTTCGTTATGGTGTTACGGAATTTCTTGATTCGGTCTCCGCGCTCAAAGCCCGCGATAAAAGCTATGCAATAGCTTAAAAATAAAATCAATGAGATCGCTGCTGATCTGTTGCTGACAAAAGTGTCAATCCTAGATGTTAAACCAGTTACTAATGTGCAAAAAAAATTCGCCATTTTGAAATACTCAAGCGCGTCAGATTAAGATATATATGGTTCATATTTATGTCCTAGACGTGCTGTCTCATAATCTGACGATTATATAGAGGGATTCGCCTAATCTGACAAAAAAATATTTTTTTTATTTGCTGAACACCCTACCCTGTATAATAGTGTTAATGTGTTAGTGTAAATGTTAATCTGTTAGTGTTTATGTGTTAGTGTTAATGTGTTAGTGTTAATGTGTTAGTGTTAATGTGTTAGTGTTAATGTGTTAGTGTTAATGTGTTAGTGTTAATGTGTTAGTGTTAATGTGTTAGTGTTAATGTGTTAGTGTTAATGTGTTAGTGTTAATGTATTAGTGTTAATGTGTTAGTGTTAATGTGTTAGTGTTAATGTGTTAGTGTTAATGTGTTAGTGTTAATGTGTTAGTGTTAATGTGTTAGTGTTAATGTGTTAGTGTTAATGTGTTAGTGTTAATGTGTTAGTGTTAATGTGTTAGTGTTAATGTGTTAGTGTTAATGTGTTAGTGTTAATGTGTTAGTGTTAATGTGTTAGTGTTAATGTGTTAGTGTTAATGTGTTAGTGTTAATATATAATTTTTCTTGACCTCGTTTTGACCTAAAATCTGTCTTTATTCTTTTTAAAGCCTAAAAAGACCTCTCGTTCGAAGCATTATAAATTGGTATCTAAATTTGAAGTAAAGTTAAAATATTGGGGAACGTATTGTTTAAATTTTTACCTAATTTATATTTTTTAATTGCTATGGGGTCCAGACTCCTCCGCGCCCCTCTGGGGACCGGGCCCCTGAGCACCCGCCCCAAGCGCCCAGCGGATAAACCGGGACTGAGTGAGAGAGGAATAGAAACGCGGAGAGGGAAATATAGGCATCACGCAGCTGCACATATTAAACTTTATCGACGAATTTTTGTTATTTCGGCTTGCGGAAATCGTCAGATTATATATTTTTCAGTATCCTGGAATTATTTCCTTCAAAATAAAAAAAAAAATAAGCTACACTCGAGAATGTCTACAACTTTGCTGTCCTCCCCTTTCTTTACGTCACTCTCAAATTGTCAGATTAGTAGAATATATACTTTTTAGCATGTAATTAACTCACCCTATCTTAATCTGACGCGCTCGAGAAATTCTGATTTTACTAATCTGATCATTTATCCTTCACGGGCGGCTTTATATATGGGGCTCATATTTGGTGGAGGTACTTAACCGGGTACAAGGTATCCCCCTGTATCTGCCACGCTTTAGTAAATCCGGAAATCCCCGCTTGGGCTCCCCTATTACAACATCGGTAGTGACAAACCTAATTAAAGAACATTCCCTTGTGAAATTCAAGAAAGTATGGGATGAAGCAAGAAGCTGCAGAGTTGCCAGGAAGCTTTTAAGTTATCCCAACAACACTATAGCAAACAAATACTTGACTATGACTAGAATCTACACCTGATCATAGACATTCTGACTAGTCAGGCAATCACCAGCCAATATAAGAGAAGCAACTTTGACGATGTTATCAACTACATCAGATCTGAAGGCTGGCTCACAAGCTAAGAGGTGCCTATGAAATTAGGAGGATGCACATGGTCTTATGGATGATGTAACGTAAACTTAGTTTTAATAATAAAATCATCAAAATGGACTGTAATAACTTTAATTTTTTGTAATTAAAAACTTTGAACAACTAAGCATGTCTTACATCATTGCTTATAATGCTGAATCTTATGATTGTCTCTTTGCGGTGTTGCCACGTGCACTTAACTATCCGACACATCGGCCTAATGAGGCCTATATTCCTTAGGTTATCCTACCCTTCACAGGTTACAGTTACAGATATATTGAGGACAAAGGCAATAAAATCTTCAACGACTTTGCATTAAGACTGGGATATTCTGTTGCAGTCTTTATCTAGAGCTGATATATATTTACTGAAATTAACTGGGATTTAAGTCCTAGATTGTAGTAAGATTGTTATTGTAATTATCAATAAATGGATTGATTATGTACAGATTACCTACACGCACATCTTCTGGGGGATAGTACTGGTCAAACGCCATAGAAAACTGATTCAATTGTTCCAAAATGTAATCAAGAAAAAAGCAAACAGCTTCGATTTCTTCTTGAAAACAACAATCTTATTGAAGAAGTTGAAAACGGTATTGTTGTTACTTTGAAGAATTACATTTAGTTCCTTTATCTGTGAGAATATATCTGGATTTGGTGTACCTAAATCGTGAATTTTTCTTGTGTGGATTTTGCCATACTACAAGTAGATTTTTCTCAGACCGGCAAATATTCCCTGCGAACCGGAATCGGTTCGCGGACAAGCGGTTGAGAAACACTGCTCTAGTGGTCTCTTGATAAATTCAGTCAAAGTAGTATATTCTGCATATGTCAGATACCTGTTTAAATATGGGTTGCCCATATTTACAATGTCCATATTTCGTCTATTGAAGCTGTTCATAATAAGTTTTTAAGATAATACAAATTGGGATTAAGACATGGGGAGGGAATATGAGTATGAGGATATGCAGAGATCATTGAATTTAAAATCACTAGAATTTCGTAGATTAACTGTTGATTTTGGTATACCTATTATTTAAATTGATTTTGAGTTTTACTAACTGCAGCAATATGCTTCAACTTATTCAGTTCCGTATTCCTCAAAGGTGTAAGAGAAACAAAGACTTGTTTATTGTGCCCTTTCAATCAACAAATTATGGCAATTTTAGTCCTTTGTCAAGAGTGGTCAGAAAGGCCAATGAGTTAGATATTGATTTTTCTGTGAATATATATATTCTTTTAAAAAAACAGAAATAGATCTCAATAGGTTTGTATTACTGCAGTATGTAAATATTTGTATTATTACAGTATGTAAATATTTGGCTAGACACTGCATATTTTTCTATTATATATTACTTTTTCTATAATGAGCTTCAAAAATCGACGTTGAATTGATTCCAGGCTGTCAATATGAATTTTGTAGTTGGGACTCCAAATTACTGATTCAAACTCTAACTTAGAGTGAACGAACGCAAAATAAAGATGTTTGAGAGTAACAATATCTGTAAAATCTCGATTGTACTGAACATTACATCCATAAGATCTGTTAACAGATAACATAATATTTTCCATGTGATTTACAAACAATAGTTTAGGATCAAATGTTACTCCTAGATCTTTAAATGAATATGTTTTCTGCAGATGTTTTTTTAAGAGGTTCAATGATGTAGGAATGACAGATATTTATTAATTTTGAACTTATTTCATCGATTCCAGAAGCGCTGCTATTTTTTAAAGAGTTTATGTATTTAATTACTAATTCGTTTTTGTTAACAAGAATGAATGCCATTGAGTATGTGAGTGCTGGGCAATTTTTATTAATTTTATTTAAAAGGTTAGCTATTTTTTCGGACATGTTCAGTCCTACTTGTGAAAATATGTGTGGCTATAGTTATAAAGCAATTTCTTTATCAATGACATTAAAGATATGTATATTTTCATTGAATTTTTTATTGTTTGGTTCCTCTGTAGCTTCTTTTATTATATCATTGTCTTTTTTACATTAAATTTACTGTTTTCAATTTGATTTGTGCAATACCTACTGATTTTTAGCATTTATAATTATTTTATTTAAATGGTTACAATATAGTTTATATTCAGTTAAGTATTATTATTATTATTATTTAAGGGTTGTTTCTTCATATTATCTCTGGGTTTTATACAAGTTATAATTACAATAAAATTGATATCCACCAGTTTTAGTATTTTATATAATAATTTTTAGGTGTCTGCAACTGTTTTTTAAATTTGTAAATATTTCAATGAATTTTTGATATGGAGTGATAGGATCATTTCTAGACATTATGTCTTTCCAGTTTACAGTTTAAAAATGTATTTGTATGCTTTGTAATTTAAGGCCTATAATTTATTTAAATGGAGTCTCACAAAATCTATTTCTATTCTTTTTTTGCATAGATTCACAAAATTTAGAACTTACAAATCATTTGGTTTTGAAAATAATTAATTGAATAAAATCTGCAAAAATATAAATCTCAACTTTAATGCAATGTAAATTCAACACTTTTATTAACGATATTTCTACACACTGTTTTGTAGACATTCACCAAATTTAAAACTCACAGATCATTTGGATTTGAAATGGTAATGTACCTAATAAAATTAATTAAATAAATTCCTAAAAACCTAAATATCAAGTTTAACTTCTCGGGGGTATGACTCCCTGTAATTTATTAAAAGGCAGTCTTTAAAAATCTATTTTTACAATCTTTTTGCATTAAATATCCCAATTTGAAACTCACAAATCGTCAAATATTTAAATAGCATAGCAACAAAAGAAATAGTGTATTTAATGTTATCAAGGAAAATGCTAAAATAACAAAACCGTCAATCATAATAATACTACAAGGAAATTCTGAATTATTTTATTAACAAGAATGTTTTTAGATTATAGATATTTATCAACATACTACACTACATACATTTTCTCGTAATAATTAAATTACTTTTGATTAATTAACAATATCTACAATGTTGTTTATTATTTAATGATACTAATTCAACTCCTTTAAATAAATGATTGTATAGAGGGTGACAAATAAATGTTTCAATGCAACTACAATCACATATAATAGTAATACATTGTGTGCTCCCTGCAATCAGTTTGCAATTTGATATGAACAAGTTGATTAACATCTAGATATATATAGTTAGATAAAAATTTCATTCTTTGTCTTTTATATAATGTACATTAATCATACTTACGAATTTAACAGCGTAAATTTCGGCATGGCCTTTATCCAATAACGAGGCAAAGATCAATCCCAACAAGCACTTGTAGATCATATTTAATAAAAAAAAGTTCCTAATTACTCTATTAACTCAATAGTCATATTCATCACATGGTATATTTGTAATTCACTCTTGGATTCAATACTAAAACCGATCTAAAAATACACCATTAACAACATTAACCGAAGGAGATTTCAAAATTTCTCAACAAAAAAGAATTATCAACAATTTAAAGATAGTTTAATCAAAACACCAAGTTATTTGTCATAGCGGACAACCTTGATGATGAGCTTTAATTTTACAAGAAGATTCTTTTAAAAGTTTCTAATGTATCATTATACCTAAATCATATCTAGCTTAGTAAAACTTTGTTGAATTATAATTAATTAGCATACATCAGATGTACAAACGCTTCAAAACCAATTTTTTTTCAATAAAAAATATAAACACTCCATCGCAATAACACGACACTAATGACTAATGACAAATTTGACAGTGACATTAGTGACATTAATTTGACACCTGTCAAATTCATCAAGCGGTTCATCCATTGCGTTCGGTTTGCCACGTTCCTTTAACTCCTTTAACACTTTTAACTCCAAACGACTCTTTTAGCGTTCGGTTTAGTCCGATTAGTGACAGTTTAACACGCTTAAATGTCATTTAAAAGCACCCTAAAATTTGTCCCGCTCCAGCCCCTGACTGACCGAACTCGCCTATCCATGACATGTTTGCCGCGTTTGAGAATCCACATCGGATGCATTTTTTACATCTCGAGCGTTTTTTTATCCACATCGGACACATCTACTACATCTACATCTGCGTTTGTTTATCCCAGATGTACCTATTTAGATTACATTTTTTACATCTCGATTTGAAATGAGATGTTCGTTCCATGCCAGAAAGTAAGTGTTCTGTGAAGTCTTGTTTGTCAATTTATCCTTTGTTATGAATATAAAAGTGATTAGTTTGTTTAATTTTTGTTTATATTTCAAATTTAGGTTGATTTGTAGTCTCAACAGTCAAATTTAATAAGTATAAACTTCTAACTTGTCATTGACATTTTATCACGTGACCAAATAAAGTCTAGAGCGTTTGTTTATTACATCTACATTCAGATCTAATTCTCTATCACGTGATAAAAAATTCACAACATCTCAGATGCATCCGATGTGGATTCTCAAACGCGGCAATTATTAAACACAAGCATTGCGTTCGGTCTGCCAAGTTCCTTTAACTCCTTTAACACTTTTAACTCCAAACGACCCTTTTAGCGTTCGGTTTAGTCATATGGGTTTAGTCCAATGAACTGGAGTGGGGTAGAATGCTTGTCAATAGACTTGATGTGCGACTCTATGGGCGAAGATAGGTTATTTTTTATCTCACTCGGGAGTATTTAAAATAGCCAGTTTCTATTTCACATTGTTATTGTCTGATCCACCAGCTTGTGGATTGAACAATAACAATGTGAAACAGAAAATGGTTATTATAAATAGTCCCGAGTGAGATGAACAATAAAAATGGCTGCGCCCATCGAGTCGCACCTTGTTCTAATAGTACAACATGTACATTGGCATTCTACCCCCCTCCAGTTCATTGGTTTAGTCCGATTAGTGACAGTTTAACACGCTTAAATGTCATTTAGAAGCACCCTAAAATTTGTCCCGCTCCAGCCCCTGACTATCCGAACTCGCCTAAGTGTGAGCGAAACCAAAAACAAACAAAAAAACAATTTCCCATAACTGTTACCAGTCTTGTGAATTTGTTTATATAGGGCCTTGTTAAACGATGTTTAAATTACTTAAGGACCGATTCCGCCGTTGTATTAAACGAAGTTTAAAATTACATTTTACATTCAATTGTCATTTTAATCTCCGTTTAATCGGCTCTAACGGACCAATGAACTGGAGTGTGGTAGAAAGCCAATGTGCATATTGTATCATTAGAACAAGATGTGACTCTATGGGCGCTGCCATTTTTATTTCTCATCTCACTCGGGAGTATTTATAATAACCATTTTCTGTTTCACATTGTTATTGTTCAATCCACAAGCTGGTGGATCAGACAATAACAAAGTGAAATAGAAAATGGTTGTAATAAATAGTCCCGAGTGAGATGAAAAATAACCTGTCTTTGCCCATAGAGTCGCATCTCAAGCCTATTGACAAGCATTCTACCCCACTCCAGTTCATTGTAACGGACGAATCCATCATTAGGTTAAACGAAGTTTAAAATGTCATTTTAATCTTCATTTAGTAATTTAAACTTCGTTTAACACAACGGTAGAATCATGGTAGAATCGGCCACTGAACTATATATTAAACCAATGAACTATATATTAAAGTGGAAGAACAAAGCCGATCTACAAAATCAAGCCGCATAGCGAGGTGATATTTGACACTGTGGCGCCCACACGTGCGTATATCGAAATGCACTAAAAAGGAACATCAAAATTAAATTTAACACTTTATTGGGGTCTATTCTGTAACAATTCCTTTATATTTTAACGGCCGTTAAAATATTAGAGGCCTTTAAAAATATTTTCGTATTTACTAAATTACTTCTGTCATTATTTAAACGGATTCCTTTAAAATACATTAGGAGCGATTCCACCGTTGTGTTAAACGGAGATTAAAATGACATTGTTAGGGTCGATTCCACCGTTGTGTTAAACGGAGATTAAAATGACATTGTTAATGTAAAAATGTCATTTTAAACCTCGTTTACCACAACGGTGGAATCGGTCCTTAATGTAAAAATGTTATTTTAAACTTCGTTTAACACAACGGTGGAATTGGTCCTTATAAAGAAATCCCTTTAAATAATGACAGTATTTTTAAAGGCCGCCAATATTTTAACGGCCGTTAAAATATAAAGGAATTGTTACAGAATAGACCCCATTACATTCAACTACGACACCTTTTAATTTAAGAAAATCTCTTAGGGCCGATTCCACCGTTGTGTTAAACGGAGATTAAAATGACATTTTTATATTAACAATGTCATTTTAATCTTCGTTTAATACAACGGTGGAATCGGTCCTTAACAAATCATCAACACTTATTCTTGACAGGATAGGAGAAAACATGTTGATAATTAATTATGGAAAGTCTACCCCGGCGACAGACATCGTGTTGTGTATGTCGCGTAACCTGTCGCAATATATCTCGAAACTAGAAACTATTCCAATGATGTTATTCGCGAATTAAATTAATTTTCGCGCGCCTGTCATTTATCACCTATCAGTAGTATGTATTTATTATTGTTCAACTGTTTTTAGGAGAGGAGTTTGGTGTCCTAATAATGCGCATATCTACTCCACTCGGCACTGACATATAGTTGAATTTTACACCTGACACGTTACCATACTTTCATTTTTGTTTTATCTTTTAATTTTGAGGATGAAGAAAATCCGTGTTTCAGCAAAAAAATACATCAAACTTGTCAATTAGAGGATATTTTTATTTATTTCAAAAACAATTTCTTGCCCTCGAAAATATATGTTTGACAGCATCTCTGATGACTCATGTTTACTTTTACCTATATTTGAAAAATATCTATATAACTGACAACTATAGATTTTCAAAACGAGTTGGAACAGTAATTGTGCGGATATGCGCTCTAATAGGACACACTATAGTAGTTTGTGCAACAAGAGTGGATATGGACAATCCACTCAAGCTGTACAGTATATTTTTTCTACAACCCACTAACGAAAATCTACCATTATTAAAATATATTTTAGATTATTAAGATAAAATAATTAATTTAAAAATAATTTATGACTTCTACTAATTTATAAAATAAAATAAACAAGAAAAAAAGGAAAAAATTTCATTTCATTTTTGTCCATCTGCGATTCGAACTCGAGTCTTCCGAATGGAAGGCAAGAACGCTGACCTCAGGACGTTCTACGCATTTATTTTTTTTGCTTTAATACTCGTAATTAAATTGACTTCATATAGTTTTATTTAAATTAACAAATTATTTATAATTATAGACGAAATAAAAATAGAAATTCTATTATTTATCGTTTCTACGCAAGAATAACTCATTTTGATGTATGTTTAATCCTTAGACTAGAAAATCTATGGTTTAATCTCAATAACTAAAAAATATACTGACAATCAGTTTGACAGAATTGTCACTTATTAAAAATGTTAAAAATAATAGCAGCCAGTTGATCAAAATATGAACGGTCATTGGTGGATTTAATTTTTTTGCAGTGTTCTTTTTACTTAGAATGGATATGCAATATATTTGTTCAGTTGAAGGCAATAGCATACTTTTTCGTTTTGTAATCTGTGCGTATAGATAAACTAATATCCATGTTGGTGTAGAAAAAAACTACTTGGGCCAGAACGGTTCTGCTCAGTAATAGTCTTTACGTACGAGTGAGCAATCTATAACTACATATCATTGATTCGAACTGATTAGTGTCAAACGTCAAATTAACATATTTTAGGTTATAAAAGAAACTGAAAAGATAAAAAAGATAAGATTGTGTTAGATATTTTTAACAAAAACAATGTTATTCATTTTAACGATGATCGCAAAATGACTCAAGTAATACCTAAAGTTAAACACATAGCAGTATTTTTGTTTGTTACTTTAACAGGTAGTTTTTATTTATTTTTAATAAGACGTACTTCTACTATTTTTTTTTTAGTATTATTTATTTTATTGAAATTCCTACACGGAATCGAAGTAAATAGCTCGGATGAGAATAAAAACGATGCAACTCGTGATTTAAAATTTCCTGAAGATGTTCAACACGCTACAATTATGTTAAATGATGCTTATCGAAAAATTGAAGCCTTAGAAGAGAAAATAATTTCTTTAGAAGGAAGAGTACCTAAAACTTACCCAGATGTTAGGTTTCTTAATTACCTGCAAAGAAAGAGGATTCTGGTAAATACAAATGTGCTTTAAGTAATTTTAAGAGTATAATATCCTAGTTTTTAGATAACAGGAGGAGCAGGTTTTGTAGGATCTCATTTAGTAGATAAATTAATGCTGGAGGGTCATGAAGTTATAGTGGCTGATAATTTTTATACGGGAAGGAAGCTTAATGTGGAACAGTGGCTAGGTCATGAAAATTTTGAGCTTATACATCATGATATTGTTAATCCGTTGTATATAGAAGTAGATGAAATTTATCATTTGGCCAGCCCTGCAAGCCCGCCACATTATATGCACAATCCCGTAAAAACCATCAAAACAAACACCTTAGGTACCATAAATGTCTTAGGTATGTGAACAATCTTAGGAAAACAGTTTTTAGCATAACAGAAATTGTATTTGGTAGGAATTTTTGTAATAGAATTTGCTTTTAAATGAAAAAAACTTGTTATGATTATTTAAGATGTATGTTTCATTTTATTTATCTGGGTTTTTTTTTTAATTAAATAAGTAGAAACAAGTTGATCTGAATGTCAACAATGAAACAAAAAATATCATTAGTTGGTTCTGTTAAAAAATGAATCATAATTATTGGGGGGGGGGGGTTGTCTTAAAAATGTCATTTATAAATCTTTTTTTTTTTAATTTCTTAACACCTCCAGGACTTGCAAGAAGGCTCAATGCTAAAGTTTTGATAGCAAGTACTTCAGAGGTTTATGGAGATCCAGATATTCACCCCCAGCCTGAGACTTACTGGGGCCACGTTAATCCAATAGGTAAGTCAGATAATATTGCCTTTTACAGTTTTATGAAGTAACATGCAAGATTGCTTGAAAAAAAAATAGGAACATATCTTAAAAAAAAAATAACACTTTTTAAGACCTAAATTGTTGTTTTCATGTTTAAATTCTAAACACAATTAAAAAAAAAACAACGAGGTTATGTCAATAATATGTTTGATTTTAAGATAATAGGTATTCAGTTTTACAAATACAGATAACCAGTTTTGTTCTACATTTATTATAAATAACATTTAAATTACAGTTCAGTACTGAATAATATGACTTGTTTTCAATAATTAATCCATATCTTCATAAAAATAAACAATTAAAAAATCATTATGGTGTTTATATTAGCCATTAAGACTAAATCCATCAATATATTAAAAATAAATTAAGTATATTTATAAAGGTGGAATCAGGTAAAACCCGATAAATTTGAAAATCATAATTTACTGTGGTTTAAATAGCACATTCTAGAATGTGTCACATCCTGGGTTTATTTGGCTAACTATTGCTAATGCTGCAACCTGCAACACAATGGGATTTGAAGGCATTAGAAATTACAGAAAAAAAGGGATTTCTTGAAAATTCTGAGAAATATTTTTATACCTAGCTTCAATTTTTGAATCATAGGTTTAATGTTCATTGTTTTATTTTTATAATTCGTAATATTTTAAGAATATAAGCAAAAAAACCTCTGTATTCTTCAAATATTATTTAGCAATTTAATGTATGTTGTAGCCAAATATTTGCTATGCTTATATTTTTTTTCTCTTCAAAACATTGGGTGATTTACCTTTACAATGACAATAAATTTAATTAGGATTTTTAACAAAGGTAAACGATTGTATTCAAGTTCAAAAAACTGTACATTTAAATAATACTTTCGAAAATAATATATACAATCTTTAAAAATATAGGGTCAAAGTCGCCGAAATAACGTTATATTTTCGAAAGCATTTACTTAATGAATAGAAATAAATAAAATAATATCTATTGTAGTAATAGTAAACATAAATGAACTATTTAAAAAAATAGTTCAAATGTACCAAATTTTAAATATCTTTAACGGGGTTATGATGGATAAATAATGTTATTTTTAACAGACACGTTATTTATAAACAGGTTGTTATTTCTGTGTGTTTATAAAATAACAGACCTGTTAAAAATAACACAGGTTAGTGGTAATTCTGTAATTCAATACTTTTATTTTTAACGGGTGTTAAATTTTACGATTTTAACATAAATTGTAATTCTGTAAAAATAAAATTAACGCCTACGTTAAATTTATAGAAAAAATAAACATACGTTAAAAGTAGTTCAAATTTGCCATAAAAGTTTGGTTAAGTTTTAAGATCTGTCAATTAAATGTAATTCCTCTTGTCATATTTATTGTATCTGTCTGTTTTTGCACAAGAATATTGAAAAAAGTAGCGGCCGAATTTGTGTAATTTCAACTGTTAAAATTACTTGAGTGCTTTCAAAATGGTTAATTTTCATGATTTTCTTGCATTTTAAGTTAAATTAAACATTCAAAAGTCATAATTTCTTATATGTTAAGTTTTAAAGCCTACTAATTAGTACCTGTTAATATCTTCGGTTTAACGCATGAAATTAACACATTTATGTTAAATTTTTAACATATTTCTGCTTATAGAATAGATTTTTGCGGCACAAATGAACTATTATGTTAATTATGACAAGTTAAAATTTTTAATGAATTTACAGAATTGCTTTTCATATTTAACATACGTTATATTTTTAACGTCCGTTAAATTTTAACATATTCGTTACAGAATTACCACTATTGTCAATCATAACCCCCTAAGAGTCGATTCCACCGTTGGGCTAAACGAAGTTTTTAAATTGCTAAATGATTAAAATGACATTGTTAATGTAAAAAACGTCATTTTAATCTTCGTTTAGTAATTTAAACTTCGTTTAACACAACGGTGGAATCGGCCCTAAAAGCAATGCGAAATTAATTACGAGTTGCAAAATAAGAAAGAAGTAAATAAAATTGCCTTTAAGGGCGGCGTCTGGCCATATCTCGACAACTATTAATCTGGACAATTTCACAATTTTTTTTTACAAAATCGTTTAAAGAAAATACTTAAAAATTATTTTAACTTTGTAACTTTCCGCTATGTCACGTGATATACCACATAATTGTTTTCACAAAAAAAATCTATAATTTTAAACCAAGCTTTGAAAAAAACTAAACAATATTTTGAAGTGTGATGTGTTTCATTATATTTTTGTGTTGGTTGTACGGGTTGTGACGGAAAGAAAACGTGAAAAAATGTTTAGTTTTAAAGAAAATTCCTAGATAAATCAATGCGATTATATGTGGTTTAGATAACAAAAGTCAGAAGGCTTTTTTCGAGTACTTTAGAACAACTCCGTTTTATAAGAAGTCTTTACAACCCCTAGGCACACGTCATGAATGGTTTTCAACATTAAAATTAATTCCAGGAAGTATATTTTTCCCGAAAGCTTTGTTTAAAGTCAACCGCGCATATAAGGCAGATTTCTATGGGCGAACGCCAACCTTAAGTCACCGTTAATTTAGTGAGTAGCTCAAATGTACCGGAAAATAAACATTTTCGCAAAAAAAGACTAAAAGTAATATTGCTTTAATTTAAATACAGTAGTTCAAAAATATTTGTACCAGATTTGAAATATCATTATATTAATGCGAAATTAATTGCAAATTGGAAAATTAGACAAGTAAATAAAATTACCCATATGTTACTGGTTATTTAGTGAGTAGTTCAAATGTACCGGGTTTTAAATTTCGCTAAAACCAATATGCAATCATATATACATTCTGACAAAAAAGACGAAAGTAATTTTGAATTAATTTAAATGCAGTAGTTCAAATGTATTACACATATTCCTAGTAGTAGTTCAAAAGTACCTGATTTTAAATATCGTTAAAATAAATGTGAAATTATTTACGAATTGTTAAGTAAATAAAATTACCCATAGGTTACCGTTTATTTAGTGAGTAGTGAGTACCGGATTTTAAATTACCCTAAAACCATCACGCAAACTTATACAATTTGGCAAAATAAGACAAAGTAATTTAAGTGCAGTAGTTCAAAATTATTACACAAAGTTTTAGTAGTAGTTCAAATGTACCACATTTAAATTTAATTAAAATGATAGTAAATTAAATGTACGTTACTAAAATGGATACCGCTATTAATGTTGAAACTTGAATTTGTGGTAGAATATATTTTAAATGTTGTTTTGGTTTTCCAATGTCAAATTGGTGAAAAACAAAGGAAAAAATTTCGGTTAATTTAATTTCAGTAGTTCAAATGTATTACACAAATTTTGAACTTGAATTTGCGGTAAAACACTTTATATGTTCTTTTGGTTTTCCAATGGGAAATCGAATAAAAATTGATAAAAAAAATACAAATTTCTAGTAGTAGTTCAAGTGTTGTATTATACAAATATGCCCCGTTTTTTTAGGACCAAGGGCGTGTTACGACGAAGGCAAAAGGGTTTCAGAATCCTTAACGTACGCGTATGCCAAACAGGAAAATATGCAAGTAAGGGTAGCTAGGATTTTCAATACGTACGGGCCAAAAATGCACATGAACGACGGAAGAGTCGTATCGAATTTTATTTTGCAGGCCTTACAGGAAGACGTCATAACTGTAAGTAATAATTATTTTGATTTGTACGGGGTGGGGGTACTTAAAAGTTCCACCCCACTTATCTTCGTTATTAATTTAGATATCGGTTTTTTTACCTTAACCTTTAAAATAATTAGTTTATTCAAATAGATTCAATTATTCTATGATGTCATGTCTTTCTTCTGCTCCAGCAGTTTTTATCGAAAATTTTAACTTCTGTGACATTTTTGGTAATAATACTAAAAACTGTTCATGTTTAATTAGGCAAATAACGTATATTAAAATAAAGTGTACTAATGGCAACAAGTGCACCGTGAACGCTCATGCTCATCTGTCGTGTACTTGTCAATGACAGGCAGCGCGAACAAAGATAATTTTTCAAAGATTTTAAACAAAAAATTATTCTCATATCTCAACGAACCTAAGGAGGGAGGGGGTGGAACTTTTAAGTGATCCACACTGTAAAATAGCAATGTTTCAATTTGATTTTTCAGGTGTACGGATCCGGCGATCAAACCAGATCATTTCAGTACATTTCTGATTTGATAGAAGGTCTGGTGATGTTAATGAATTCCAATTACTCGCAACCCGTCAATTTGGGAAATCCCATAGAACATACGATAAATGGTTAGTTGCGTTTTCGATAGGAAAAAGCGTTTTTTTGAATAATATATCGTTAATATTTCTTTTTCTTAGAATTTGCGACGATAATAAAAACTCTAGTCGGTGGCAACAGCAAAGTTGTTCACGTCAGCGAAGTTGAAGATGATCCACAAAGACGAAGGCCTGATATCACTCGGGCCAAAAAATATTTAAATTGGGAACCAAAGGTAATTAATTTCGTAATATAAAAACGTAATAATTTTTTTTGCAGCTTTTCCAAAATATTTTTAAACGACTTCAAAAAAATGTACCCAATTCGTCAGATTTTTTTTTATGTATGTTCAGCGACAATTCTTTAACACGTCCGATTTCTATTATTCTTCTTTAGTTAGAAGTGGGATACTTCAGAGGTGGTCCCATATAAATTTGGTCAAAATCTAATAATTGGGTAATGAGAAAATCATCAAACTCTTCATTTTTTTATATACAGCAATAATTCTTTACATCGTCCGATTTCTATGATTCTGGTTTTATTAGAAAGGAGGTACCTCAGGGGTGGTCCAGTATATATTTGGTCAAAATCTCATGATGGAATCTATGAGAAAACCAGCAAACTAAATTTGTAATGGCATCTGCACGATTACTTTTATTGTTTATTTTTTATCCATCTAAAAAAGTGCTCATATGCTGCGTTTGAATATCCACATCGGATGCATCAGAAATGTTGGGAATCTTTAATCACGTGATTCAATATACGTAAATCTAGTAAGACAGATGTATCCGTTGTGGATAAACAAACGCTGGAGATGTAAAAAATGCATCGGATGTAGATATTCAAACGCAGCAATAGATTTCACTTTCAAATTTCACTAAAATTGACATAAATGAAGTACACCTTACTAAAAAGACATACCAATGAATTTTGTAACTTGTGGCAGCTGTAGTACAAATGTAACAACAGATTTTTAAGTTAAAACCAATTTTAAACGAATTAAAAGTCGATGAACTAGAAAAATAGTTATTTTAGTCATAAGTAGTTCAAATATACCTATCTCAAAATCGTAATAGTTGTAGTAGTTCAAATGTCCATTTCCATTTAGGTCGACCTCAATTAATGACTCGAAAAGACTGTTGAAATTGTCCATAAGTTATTATTAATTTGGCCCACCGGATTTTAAATTTCGTCAAAACCAATACACAAACATTTTGACAAAAATAACTTTGGTTTAATTTAAATGCAGTAGTTCAAAAGTATTAGACAACTTCTTAGTAGCAGTTCAAATGTAACGAATTTTAAATATCACTAAAATCAATTCGAAATTAATTATGAATTCGAAAACAATATAGACATAATTAGCATTGTCTATAAGTTCCGTTAACTTATAAGTAGTTTAAATGTACCCGATTAAAAATTGCACTAGAACCAACACATATTCATATATACATTTTTGGCAAAAAAAAGACAAAGTAATTATGGCCTAATTTAAATGCAGTAGTTGAAAAGTATTACACATATTCCTAGAAGTAGTTCAAATATACCTACCGGGTTTAAATTTAACTAAAATTGACGGTAAATAAAGTAGATACACATTACTACAAAGATATATCAATGAATTTTGAAACTTGGGCTAGCAGTAGTTCAAATGTAACAACAGATTTTTAAATTAATTGAACCCACCGACCTTGATATTAAACTGGATGGCTATATGACATAAACCCTACTCCTAATTTCTAAGCCGACATGGGTGAAAAAAACGGTCGGTGCGATGACAATTTGGACGCGAGACTGTCAATTTCGAGCATTCTACGTCGCGTTTCTCAGGATAAGTTATATTATTTTTTTATTAATAACGCCACTATTTTAATAATTATTATTATTATTGGAAAATTTGTTTAAGCTGTGTATTAATCAATAATTTTTAAGTGATTTTCTTAAATTAAAAGGTGTCGCAGTTGAGTGTAATAAGTGTTAAATTTAATTTTGATGTTCCTTTTTAATGCATTTCGATACGCACGTGTGAGCGCCTCAGTGTCATATATCACCTCGATATGTGGCTTGATTCGCTGTGGCTTGATTTTGTTGATCGGCTTTGGCCTTCCAGTTTAATATATAGTTCAGTGGTTGAACCCGAGTTAAAATCAATTTTAAACAAACCTACAAGTGAAATAGATTGAAATAGTTATTTTAGTCTTCAATAGTTCAAACGTACCAATCGCAAAATCGTAGTAATTCAAATGTACCGTTTCAATTTCAGGTCGACCTTAACGAGGGTCTCGAAAAGACTGTTGAATATTTCAGACAAGAACTGAAAAAATTCAAATATACTCCTAGAAACAAATTTTTTATAAGCAATCGTCACCACCCTTAACCCGGAACGTATTGCTCGAGGTGGTCTCGCACTTACGGCTATACGGTGAGATTGGATTCGGATGCGGCGGTGACTGCCGCACAGCGACCGCAATTGTGAACCAACCTTTCGGATTGAAATGTGCGCGTGATGTTTTTTATGGCTGTTTTGTATTATATTTTGTTGAATATATGTGTAATTTTTCTGCTGGATTTGTTTTAATTTACCCATATCCTGGTCTTTTAGTTTCAGTAGTTCAAATGTATCACATTACTAGTAGTTCAATGAAGTATGGGTAGTTCAAAATGTACCGGATTTTAAATTTCGTGAAAACTAATGCGAAATCGAATATAAAGTGGTAAAAAATGAAAATAAAGCACAGTAGAACCTCGATTATCCTTGCGGCAGTTTAAATTGATCAACCGTGCCCGGATTATCCGTGGCTGGCAGGCTCAGGTTGGCGCATGAATGCTGGTTACTTAGATGGCCCACTCGAACATTTGATGGGCTTACATTTAATTTTGATACTAAAAAATGTATAAAAAAAAAATTTCAATAAAATGTCTTCTAAGATTGTTTGCCTCACTTCGCCGTCCTTTCTGCTTTATGACACCTTCGGATTTTAATTTCGCTAAAACTAATGCGAAATTAAATACAGTGTTAAAAAAATACAAAAAGTAATTTTAGTCCTTTTAATGTATTTCAAATGTAGCACAAATATACCTATTTTAAATGTTATTAAAATCGGTTCTCAAAGAAATACACCAGAGAGCCTCAATTCTCGACTTTTATTCACTCGTTTTCCTATGAGAATTTATTTTTGTATTCTCGACACATCCACTAGGAATATTTTCTCGTGAATAGTATGGGAGCAAATACACTTGGTATTTGGCATGTGAAATCAAATTTCCAATGGGAATAATGGTAATGGATTCTACTTAATCAAAGTTAATCTATCATCAGTGATATTTGCTATTTTCTTGTTACTTTAAATAATATAAATATTTCCAATATACCTTTTTTTTTAAATTTATGAAGGTTTTTTACGTCTCCAATTAAACCATATAGAAGAGGCAGAAAGAAGAGCAAATAATGCTCCCAAGATATTTTTGGACGAAGTTGAAAAAGGCCCTTTTGAATCTATAAATTATTTAGACTATCAAAAGAGGCGGCCTCAATTGCAGATATGGATACAATAATAGATCCCAATTTTTTTTAGTCTCATATTTTTTTGGTATCCATTGATCATAAAATAATTTTTTTTGTAACTCAAAGAAAGAACAAAAATCAATCATTGATATAAGGAGAATCAGTGTTCCCAATACAACAACTTGAACGTATTGAAATATCTATCAGTTTCCAATATTTTCGTTTTTAATGCATAAGTTGGATATATGAATAATCAAAATTCCGATAGGAATTACATTCCTAACCCAGTGGAGAATACCGTTTTAAAATACTGGAAAATAAGCAGTGGAATTCTTACCCATGGGAAAATTTTTCTGTGAAGTCGAGGCCCATCAGGGACCGATTCTCGACTTGTAGGAATTTTTGACATTTTTCTATAAATGGTAAATTTTAGACATTTTCTAACATATAGGAGATTATCAAAAATTCCTATCTGAAAAGGTTCCTACAATTCGAGAATCGACCCCTCGAAAAAAAAAAAAAGCGTTTAAAACCCATAATAAATATTTGTAAACCTTGGGATTGCAGTAGTTCAAATGTGCCGAATTATTGATTTCGTTAAAATTAATGTGAAATCGAATAAAAATTAGTAGGTAAACAATTCAAAGAAAGTAATTTTGGTTCTTTTAATATATGTTGGTAAAAAGTATAACAAAATCATAGTAGTAGTTCAAATAAATCAGATTTAAATTTATTAAAATTAGTGCAAATTGAAACGTTAAAAAGTGCAAATAATAGTAGATCAAATAAACAAGATTATATTATTTTTTTTTAAACCAATACCTGCAGGATAAAGCAAATAAAAACTAGAAAAGAATGTAAAAAAAACAAGGCTTTATAAAATGAATACACAAGATACCACTGTAATCCTGAGAAATCAGAAACAAAATGACTAAGTAACTAAAATCTTTATTAATTAAAATGGAACAAATTATCACTATAAATAAAATTTATGTTTTGATCTTATTATACAAAAACCAGTACATCCCAAACATAAAGCTAGGAGGACTTTTAATATAATCCAGACTTAAATACTTCTTAACATCTTCTACACTCATCTCAACCACGTCAATGATTTCATCATCGACTCCACCACCTGAGGATACTTTCATATCATCGGTAACTTCGCAGTAAAAGGCTGTTTGAATACTACCAGAAGTTCCAACTCCAGATCGATAGGAACTTACTTTTTCGAAATTTGAAATCGGTACATCATATCCACATTCTTCCAGAACTTCTTCCTTTGCAATCTCTGCCTCAGATTTATCTTTATCTATAATTCCAGCACATAACTCAATTGTAAACCCAATTTTTGCTGGGTATTTTTTCGTATCTATTTCTTGATCAAACTGTCTGTCTTGTTCCGGAATGGCTCCAATATAAACGGCAGGACGAAATTGTTTAACAAGAATTAAAACTTTTCTTGTAATATTGTAAATAATTATAGCTACACTATCATGTACAGTCAGCAAATCCCATGTTCTTTTTGTACCGTTTTGTACAAAATGCATGGTATAAGGCTTCATGTAAATCGACTTTTCTAATGGTTTAATTACTATTTTAGACACGTCTTCCATTTTTGAGGACATTCTACACAAAATTGTACGTATTAAAAATTTGGAGACTGCAAAAATTCGATGACTATTTGAAATCTTGTTACTAACTGACAGTATGTTTACAAAGTGACTGCATTTAAAGCTTAAATAATCTGATAATTCAGTGAATTTAGAGATTTAGAGATTAAGAGATACGTGTCCACAAAAGTATAGATATATATTTTAAATTTATTATTATTTATCTACTTTGCGGCAAATTAAAAGATTGACACACGACATATTTGACATTTGTATTGCAAATTGTCAATTTCGAACTTGTCGAAGGTCAAAGAAAATGCCACCATTTTTATACGTTCGGAAATTCGGAAATTCTTGGTATATCGATCTACTTTTAATAGTAGTGATAAGATAAGGACACAAATATAATGTTACTGTCAATATAGTAACTTTTATTTTTAATGTTTGTTAGACTGGTAAACCTCATTTGTTAGAATTATGTCTAGGTTTACAATACCCGCATTATAATGAAAAATTCTAAAATTAAAATTAAAGCAGTTTTCATACTTGGTATAAAGTGACCATCCGTCCCACCATGCATCAGTCCCGATTTAAGGACCTAATTTTGTATACTGGTCACACTTTTAGAAATCAAACAATTTTCATTTTTCACAACATATCTAAAGGCTGTATGTCACGATACTAAATTAAGTACTAAACTTAGCACTAAATTAAGTCATTAATTTAGAAATAAAAATATTTTTTTCTGTTTGCAACGGTACCAATTTTTAGTACTAAATTAACTATAGGCGCACGCGCATTGACGTATTAATACGTGAAATAAGCAGAGAAATTAAATATTCTGTGTAAAATAGATAAGTGAAGTAAATGGTGTTTTTATTATCAATTTGAAACTAGTTGACTTGACAACAACCAAACAATGGCGGCTCGTGGGCACTAGCGGCAGTGGGGCACATACTGGAAAGGAATCCCGGTATTCGTTTTTCTCTTAGGAAAACAAGTTCTCCGCTTAATGAAAATTAAATATATTTCAAAACAATCAGTTGGGGCAATAACGATTTCTGAATGTGACTACAGGGAGCTAAATGTGACTACTCAAAATGTATTTAACTATGTATGTTGCTATTTAATCAAAAAATCATTACATATCCACTCTTGCGAAATTTACGTAAATTTCTCAGAAGAATGCAATTTACTTAACAATTCTAACTTGTTAACACATTTTAAAGCATACTACTCTTAAGAAAAGGTGTTTGGCAATTTAAAATCTCCCAGCGAAAAATGTCTCTTTTATATTTTCAAATTAGAAAAATATTTATATATCTATTTGATAGTTTGTCAACTAAGCCTAGAATTTCCAACGCATACCTTTTTGAAATGAGCAAAATAGAATTTGGTCATCCTTGCCAACAATTTGCGAAAATGTACACCATTAAATTATTTATAAGACTCAGAATTTTTTATACTCTTAAATATGCAAACAGAGATTTGAAATCCTCGAATAAGTCAGACAAAACCAAAAGAAAAATTAAAATTTTGTCCCTTTATTAATTATTATTGATTTTTTTCATCATATTTTTGACTGCTTTATAAAAAAAAAGTTATTTTTCTTTATAGTTTTACTTCTTAACTATTCCAATGGTCCAACTAACATTTTTTTCGTAATCACAATAAATAAATTATTATTATTATCATGGTCCATCAAACGCGCACCTTTAGCCGAAACCGGCATGGCCGGTAAAGATGCCGCTGCGACACATGCCGCTGCGTACATTCGTATCTGGTCTAGGTAATCTGTGCCATGGGTACAGCACGTCACAATGAGTACAGCGCGTAAGAAAAAATCAAAGTATGTGGGACAACGCCCTGCTTGTAACGTATAATCATAGCCCTCAGAAAGTCTAGATACCGCTTGGCGTATACTGTCAATACAAAAAAATGACCCCATTCAAGCTTGTCGCCATGTTAGGTAAATTTATGTTTTGGCTACACTGATTTTTAGTTTGTGTGTTCTGTAATACGTGAACACCGATAATCTGCACTTTGTTATTAGTTATAAGTGAGTGAGACGCACAATTTCTAATTTCAAATTAAGAACAAAACTTTGACAAACCTATTTGATTTTCCTAGATCTGTTCAGACAGGACCGGTTTTATAAAATTTCTCGTTCTTGAAATGTTATTTTTACATGGTTATATATTATTGGATAAGTGGTGTGTGTACATATTGCTATGAGAATTATAGAGAAATTCAGTGAGATTTATGTAATATAATTCAAATTACAAGTAAACCATCTGTTCCTGTTTGGCAATATGGAGAAAATACCTACTTCAATGTCAAATGTACTATTTAAAAGAATGTGATTGTTAACCGGTCATTTATTTATATTATATTATGAAAATAAAAACTCGAATTTTTTAACTAGGGAAAGATATACTTACATCGGTAACAAGGTATTTTTAGAAAAACTAATAGATTACTCCTATTCCTATAGTTTATTTGAAAATGAATAATAGCAAAATTATATAAAAATATGGACCTTTGCCATAAAAACTGTGCTACCAAGCATTTTCAAATAAACTATAATGATAATTTGATTTAATAGAGCGAGTATAAGATCTCACCTGTTAGAGAAATTGGGGCATAGGGAAGAGATTATGAAGCAGGTAAGCGAAGTCATTGCAAAAGATAAATATATAAAAGTTATTTTAAAAATTTGATAAAAAACTAGTGGAACAAGAAATGGAGTTGTCGCTATCGGAGATCCAATCAGCAGAAAGTAAAAAAAAAAACTTTGGGAATGTTGGAAAAGGGCACAGCAATAGGCCCAAAACAATTCCTTGGTTTTTTAATAAATATAATCTGAGATGCAAAAAATACTGCTAGAGTGGAGAAGCAGTATTGTTCTAATGTAGAAAACCCAGGGACATACAGCAGTGCACTAACCATAGGCGAATAGTCACTAAATTATACAAGAGTCCCATCTCGATTTTATTTTTAAATATTTTTGAGAATACCTATTATTATTTGTTACATTGAGTTTAATAAAACCACAGATTTCGAATGTATTGAAAGTTATTTAAAAAGTACCTCTATAAATATATAGAAAATGTGTATATGACTAACTGGTTTTATTAATCTTTTTTTGGGGTAGGTAAATATATTTTGAAAAATTTACAAACTTCTTTTGAATAAAAGACAAAATATTTCTGTTTTCATTAACTGAACAATATTTTATACGAACATAATATATACCTATTTAAAAGAAAATATTACATTTTACAAGTATCGCATATTTATATGAAATAACTAACTCAATAAGAAAGAATTAAATGAAACAAATTAATAAACAATGGATATGAAAAATTGCTATAACAATTTAATCCTTAGATAAACTTATTCTTACATATTACTTTAATCAATTTATTTACTATAAAAGTATATTTCCTATCATTTATTACATATAATAAAATAAAGCATAAAACATACAAACTATAATATGTACCTACTTAGAACGGAACTAATATTATTGTATCAAGGTAGTAATAGTGGACATTTTCCGAATAAAAAAAAGTAAAAAAGAAGTAACGGTCGACACGTTTTTCTGACTGTTGGTCTTCATCAGTACGGTGCAGTCAAGTTCAAAGGATCATGGAACTTGTGTTGGAAAAATTGTACAATAGGTCACTAACAAGGAGCCAATAACACATTTGCCGTTTCAGCTAGTATCCCCAAATTTTCTGGGCTTATACTAAAGTCACAAAATGATTCAATGGTCTTCCTATGGCTATCAGTTATTCTTTCCTAACATTTTTTGGTATGCTACAACAAAACATACAAATTATTTGATTTTGTAAATACACAAATATTTGTCAAAACTTACACATGAAATGTTATTCCTTCCTTGTATCTTCTACCGTTAGATGCATTGTTACATTCACGTACAAAACAAAAAGAGATTTTGAAAATACTGTAAAAATTTAACACCAAACCACAAATGTTTTTTATTAAAATAAAACACTAAACGACTAAACTAAAAAAAAATGTTTTAAATAAAACCTTTACTAGAAGAACAAAATAAACAACACAACAGATAATAAAATCGATTATATACGTCGAACGCCGATCTTACGCTTATTACTAAACTTGCGCCGATTCTGTCTTGTCAGTAGTGCCAACTTAAAAATTATTGACATTTATTTATCATGGCGCCCATCATATGGGGGATCAAAATGTTTTTACGATGCGGTATCTAGACCTTCTGAGGGCTATATGCGTATAATCCATCGCATGTGTTCATCTCTTGCTAAGCGATATTGTCGTTGTCCTTGTTTTTCGCATCATAATAAGAGAGAAAACAACAGAGGCACCCATTTACTGTGCCCTGTGCCCTTCCACTTAATTTCGGAAGTCTCGGAACGTCGCTCAATGCCCAGTCGTCCAGTGTCGTGCCAACGCGGTTTGCGCTGAATATTAGATAAAATAATAATAGGCATTGAGGAAAATATAAAATATGTAAGTTTTTTTTTGTTTATTATACTAGGCACGTGCCCAAGTGCCCTTACGGGCAAACCGCCACTGCAACCAAGTACAGCAATGCTACTATAATAAACCACGAAAAAAACAATAAAACCTACAAAATCAAACAAGCGCACTTTATTCAAGGGGATAATGCAAAATGTTCGCTAATTAAAAACAAAATGGTACAGAAAATACCGTCATGTCAACTTTTTCTGTGAAAAACTTCTGCGCAACATTGCGACGCACTTTTAGTACTAAATTTAGTAGAAAATAGAACAAGTTCTAATTAATTAATTAATTTATTTAGTACTAAATTTGCTGTTTGCAACGTGAATTTTTTTAATGTACTTAAAAAATGCATTAATTTAGTTCTAAATTTAGTACATAATTTAGTATCGTGACATATACAGCCTAAGGGTGAGATTACAGAACGTCTACAACTTTGCAGATCTGCAAATATGGCGGCAACTTTGCAGATCTGCAAATATGGCGGACTTACATACAGATGCAAGTATCTAAAAAATAGCTGCAAATTTCGCAATATTTATTACCCCTAACACCATTAAATCCAAAACCACCCTTAAGAAGGTTAGAACATCCTACAACCATGAAGTCTTCTGTTTCTTTTGATTGAATACAGTTCATAGTGTCAAATTATCGAGTTTTTAAACATAGTAATGGATTTGGGTTTATTGTTGTTGGGGGTAATAAACCACAATAAATATTGCGAATTTGCAGATCTTTTTTGGAATACGAAAACTTGATACATGTCCGCCATATTTGCAGATCTGCAAAGTTGCCGCCATATTTGCTTTGGAAATCTCATAATTGGTAATACACAATTAAAAAATCGGTTGTTGGCATGCTAAACACTGCCTAAAATATTTATGTATTATGTGTTCTTTTTTTTGACACGGAGTTACTCAGAACTGCAGAGATAAAGATGTAATATACGTTTTCTTCTAAGTGCAAGTGACATAGGAACAGTTTATAAAACAAATAAATTGATCTGGATATACTCCTCCCTCTGACAATTATTATGATTTTCACCAATCAAAACAAACCACGATTTAACTTTGACAGTCACAGTCAAAATAAATGTCGTGTTAGAGATTATGCATGTGTAATATGAATATTTTCTGTAGATTGTTGGAGATAAACTGTTCCAAGTTCTAATAAAAAAATATCCAAAATGTTGAGCAGTTTTGATAGCATAAATAGGAACTTTTTGTTCAAAACTACGCCATATCTAGTCCTTTTAGCGTTTGAATTATTTTTAGATGGTGAGTACTAACCTTCAAAATTCAGAAATAATAAGTAATACTTGTTTTACAGTTTCAGAATGTATGACACAGGGTGAAATAGATAAGCATTTAGAATTAGGTAAACAGTATTTAGCTAAAGGCCAGTTAGGAGATGCTCTTAGTCAATACCATTTGGCAGTAGGTGAGAAAATGTAATATTTCATCACATTCCATTTATTTCATTTGCATTATTTTTAGAGGGTGATTCGAACAATTACCTAACATATTTTAAGAGAGGAACCGTGTACCTTGCTTTGGGGAAAGCCAAAAATGCCCTGAGCGACTTAGATAAGGCATTAGAATTAAAACCAGATTTTACTGCAGCTCGGTTGAGTAGGGGAAACATCCACCTCAAACAGGCTAATTTCGATTTAGCACAGCTAGATTTTTATAATGTGGTAAGTATATAATCTTTTTAAAATAAAACAGTATTTTATTTGTGAACATATGTGTGTGTAATAGAAGTTTTATTATAAAGATTTTTTGTTTTTATGTATTATTTTTATTAATTTATTCGTTTTATTTGTTATAAAACCTTTTCAGTATTATACGCCGACACTCGAACGGCGGATATAACTATTGAAATGTTATAAAGAGTTTCTAGACACTTTGAAACACACTATACATAACAATTTTGGGCCCGCTAACACTTATTTAAAAAAAAATTTTTACCTTAAAATCCTTAAAATTTGTTGTCGGGTCTCCATCATAAAACAAATGTGAAATAAACCATTTTCACTGATTTATTGTTGAAGAAACGGCTAAATATCAATATAAGACCATTCATAGAGCAATGAACCCTACCAAATGTATTCATAAACGATCAAATTTTCTTATTTTTCATTTTTAGTTTGTTAGAAAAACAAATAAACATTAAATTATTTTTAATGACAATTAGGCATTCCAACGACCTGTCAAACAATATGTGCCAGTGGGAAATTCTTGTATATCTAAGGGGGTAGCGACATAGTCTTGCAACTTGGGCGCTATTTTTATTCGAAGTAGTAGTGGCCAAACCTGTCAATTTATGAGGAAATGTAATGGTGAGTTTTTTAAATATTATTTTTAATGCGTTTGACATAAAATATTTAAATGTAATCCATTATTCATGATTTTACATAAAGTAGATAGAATACACCGTATGTCGCCACCCTTAGATATACCAAACCTTCCCACTGTCAATTCATTTGTTTGGAATGCCTAATTAGGCATTCCAACGACCTGTCAAACAATAGGTGCCAGTGGGAAATTCTTGTATATTTAAGGGGGTAGCGACATAGTTTTGCAACTTGGACGCTATTTTTATTCGAAGTAGTACTCGCCAAGCCTGCCAATTTATGAAAAAATGTATAGGTGGGTTTTTTAAATATTATTTTATTGTGTTTGACATAAAATATTTAAATGTAATCCATTATTCATGATTTTACGTAAAGTAGATAGAATACACCATATGTCGCCACCCTTAGATATACCAAACCTGCCCACTGGTAATTCATTTGTTTGGAATGCCTAATTGATGTGTCTAGTTTCTATAAATGCGGTGTTGCCAAATCGAGTAAGAAAACATAAGTCAGGAAATAATTCGCTTAGTGAAAGTTGGCTGGCCAGCAGGTAAATTTGGATCTCGAAGTGAAAACATTTGTAGTAATTACAGACAACCGTCTTTTTATTTCATTTCATGATGATTGTACGTTAATTACGGCATGTCAGTACTTATCTAATATTAAAAAAAAATCAATTTGAGCTGTGTCCAGGCCGTTGGAGTTTATGCCGGTCGGCGTAGACAGGTATGGTTTAAAAAATTTCTGGTGGCGGCGAAGCCGCCACCTTACAAGAAGTCGTTCCGTCATTTTCTTATTGTATATTTTCTTATTATTAGATGCCCACGATACAAGACACGTTCGTTAAAAGTTGGGATTGAGGTTCACTGGCCAGACGCTAATCAGTGTTGGTTAGGTTAGTTTATTTTATTTTTCAATTTGAGCTGTGTCCAGGCCGTTGGAGTTTATGCCGGTCTGCGTAGCCAGGTATGGTGTAAAAATTTTCTGGTGGCGGCGATACCGCCACCTTACAGAAAGTCGTTGCTTCCTTTTCTTATTGTTTATTTTCATATTATTAGATGCCCACGATACAAGACACGTTCGTTAAAAGTTGGGATCGATGTTCACTGGCCCAACGCTAATGAGGGTTGGTTAGGTTAGGTTTTTCAATTTGAGCTGTGTCCAGGCCGTTGGAGTCTATGCCGGTCGGCGTAGCCAGGTATGAGTTAAATATTTTTGGTAGCGCCACCCTACAAGAAGTCGTTGCTTCATCTTCTTATTGTATATTGTTAGTTTAGGTTATGTCGTCGAAGAGTACTCTGCCGATGAGGGTGAGGAAGAAGATCTTGATATGGGTATTTTTTAAATCATTAGTTATATATATATAATTTTTCTGATACTGAAGTCAATTGGTTGGCCTGGTACAACGCAGGGCATAGGTAAAAATTACCATTGCTATGTAATAGATAATTGATATGGCAACATTGTATTTCTTTTAGACATATGTCACACTGCAAATCTTAATTGTCATAGTCTTTACGAAAATTAAAAAATTCCGACGAACCTAAACATGAGCTTAAATTAAAAAAAAAACTGTTTACGAAAAAATTTGGATGGTTTATTGCATTATGGATGGTCTAGTGTTATTATTTAGCAGTTTCTATAACAAGAAATTAATCAAAATGATGTAGTTTAAATTTTTTCAACATCGAAATTGGAGGACACATTTTAATAGTTTTAAGGTAAGAAAAAAATATTTTATAGCGTTTGCAGGGCAAAAAAAGTATTTTGAAATGTGTTTCAGAAGGTCTAAAATCGTTTAAAAAAAAAAAAATTAAAAAAAATAGCCCGTTCGACTGTTGGCGGATTTTTCCACTTTTTCGTTAGCATTACCATTGCTACCTAATTTTTATATAAAGTATTTTTTTTTTATAATTAAAACTAGACTCATCTGATATGAATTGTAACTGATATTGGATGACTGAAATAGACCATATTTTTCATTTAATGTTGGAAATAATGTTTCTGTTATAAAGGTTTATACATTACTATAATTTTTTTATTGCTTGCATTGTTAATTACTGTATATGTTGCCATAATTTTTGGTTATCTGTAATTTGTTTACTTTATTTGCAGATTATTTTAGTGCATATGTATTAAAATTAATAAATCTATTTATTAAGCAGTGGCCATTAAATGGATGATTGTTTGGTTATTGAACAAAAGATTTCTCAACACATTTTTTTTAATGAAATTTGAACATTATTTTTAGAATTCTGCATTAAAATTGGAGATCATAAATTCTTGCCACCTGAAACAATAATAATAATGATAAATAAAACATTCTTAATTATAAAGGGTTTTGGATAAGTTGTTTTTATTTCTAGCTAAAAACGGACCCTTACAATGCCGAAGCGAACGAGTACATCCACCGTATAGATCCAGCCAAAGAAAAAAAACGCAGCGCCGAATACCATTATGCGCACGACGACTACGTGTCGGCCATACATTACTTGTCCGAAGTTATCGACGTCAGCCCTTGGGCGGCCGATTTATATGAGTTTCGCTCCGAGCTACACATGTTGAACGGGGACGAGAGTTCAGCCATATCGGACATCAAGTGGACTACGAAGTTGCAGAGTGATAACACCGACGGGTATTTTAGACTGTCGCAATTGTTGTACAAGGCCGGACAGGCTACCGAGGCTCTGAAGGCGATCAGGGAGTGTCTGAGATTGGATCCCGAGCATAAGGTATAATAATAATATCTTTATTCGGTAAAAAAAACATAGTCTCATCAGTTATAAACATAAAAAATATTACAATTAAAATCGATTTAAAATTGATTAAAGTTCGGTGAATATGTTCAAGGTTATAATAAAATTAGAACAGAGAGTTTAATTTTCACAATTACAGATATTTTGTACATAATATTGCTGCGTTTGAATATCCACATCAGATGCATCTTAGGTGTTTTTTTATCACATGGTAGATGATTAGATTTAAATGAAGATGTAATCAACAAACACTCAAAATTGATAGAAAATCTACTTTGACAGAAACATTTCTCAAATATTTCATAATCGTAATTCTTCTTAGATTTGAAAAATACCTAATACAATTTAGAAATATTTCAGAGGGATAATTTGGTTTTTTTAAAATCAGTATTTATGGTTTTTTTTTATTAAATAAAGAAACAGGTCACATATAAAAAGGGAATTTCATTTTTAAACCTTATACTTTAAACTGGTACAAAATTTATTTTAATACATTTAGCAGAATTTAAATCTAATAGCAAATGATGAATCATTGCTTCTTATAGCTAAAATACAGTCTAATTGCGACATTAACTTCTTCCTAAGAAAACCTCGTAAATTTACGGACGGTGGAAAATAACTGAGTTTAAAATTTACGGGAAGTTTAATTATGGATAGTTTAACATGCTTCATTTATTTGAGATTGCTATTCTTTAGAACTTTTAACTATGAATCGGTGGAATTGGGCTTTAATAATTCGCTAAACGTTGTTTAGGATCTTACAGCATGCTTCTGTTTATTTCAGGATTGTTTTCCGTTTTACAAACGCATCAAAAAAATCGAAAAGTTCCTCACCGACGCCGAAACCTCCCTAGAAAACAAACAGTATACTGAATGCATAGAATCGGCGAACAAAGTCCTCAAAAACGAAAAGGACACTCCGACCGTCCTCTACGAAGCCAAACGTTTGCTGTGCAGTTGCTACGCGCGCGATGAGCAAAGCTCCGAAGCTATAACAGCATGCAGTGAAGCTTTGGCTCACAACGAGGATCCGAACGTATTCTGCGATAGAGCCGAAGCGTACTTGAGCGCCGAATTGTACGACGACGCGATCAGGGACTACAAATCGGCGCTGGAAATCGATTCGCATTTTGAAAGGGCCAAAGAGGGTCTTGGTAAGGCGGAGAACAGGCAGAAACAGGCCGAAAAACGAGATTATTACAAGATATTGGAGGTGAAGCGATCGGCCACCAAGAAGGAGATCGTGAAGGCATACAGGAAGATGGCGCAGAAATGGCATCCGGATAATTATCAGCTGGACGAGAAGATGAAGAAGATCGCCGAGAAGAGGTTTATCGATATCGCAGCCGCCAAAGAGGTAAGTGCTTTTTTCTACCTTGTGAGAATGTTCAGTTATGTCCAGAGATGGGCAACTTACTTTCAAAAAATAGTTGAATAAAACTACTAACTAGAGAAACTATTTTTTAAGTATTCAGACTGAATTAATTTTCGACCAAGGTAAAACAAAATTTATTTAGAGTATTTACAATCACAAGACATAATCAAAATCATAGTTCGGCTTTAAATTAAATCAAAAACAAAGGAAAAATGAGTTTTTTATTAGCTATAAAAGAGAGTATGCCTTGACTGGCTTCCTCGAAGTTCGGCGACAGAAGGGAAGAGCCTTTCGTTGCATCTCTGCTCTCCTCTAAGAATTTCCACCAGCTGACCCGATGGCCGTTGAATGAGCCGACACAGTTACCGTTACGAATTTAAAATACAGGGTTATTTGCTGCAGAATTAGATTGAATAAGTTGCATTTGTAAAAATAAATATTTTGAAATGTAGTCGTAAAATTAAATATTTAAATCCATTTTGCAAGTTGTTGAAAAACAGGTTCATTCTTCAATTTTGTTTTCTTAGATTTAACAAAGGCTTTTGATTGCGTGAATCACCATTTACATCTTAATAAATTATATAGACTAAAGGTGTGAGGTAATGCTTGCTGAAACACCTTCATTTGATGGGATTACACAATGATCCCACTACGTGTAGACTCTGCATGAAATAGGAAGAAACCTGATAACATGTAATCTTAGAATGCGAAGCTCTTACTAGGCGACGTTTCATCCTTTTCGGCCTAGAACCGGAAAGAACGTTCCAGGAACACTTGGTAGAGAACTTATTAAAACTACAGGACTATTCCAAAGATAGTACCTGAATACGGAGAAAGCAGGGGAATACAATAGACCCAAGAAGCCACAGTGTTCTGGGCCAAACCTAACCCTACCTGCTTACAACTGATAAAGATAAAAATAAAAAGGCATATTACTGGTTTCAATCTTATGTTTCAAATTGGGTTTGTTTAAAACATGATAGCGAATATTACTCTGAATCAAAAAACACTATGCCGGGTATCCCACAAGTGTCTTGGGTCCTATTTTATTTGTATTATATCTAAACGATTTACCAAAAACACAAACGTCTTACTATATAGAAACCAATGCAAAGTACTTGAAAAAGATACTTCGAATGCTATAGAAAGAATTTCAAAATGGTTTTGTGAAAATTTGCTATTATTAAATGTATGTAAAACTTTCAAGGACAGTCGTAATACAAATGAATTTCCAGAAGCTATTAACTTATGTAAGGCATTGGTAGAATATTCTAAATCGACAAAATTTCTCGGCATAATTATTGATGAGCGTCTAACTTGGGTGGAACATCTACATTTAATTTGTGGAAGGCTCAGCAAAAGTTGATCAGACTTATGTTAGTGTATTATGGTGGTCTATTCTATTCCTTAATGTGCTATGGAATTATGTTTTGGGGAAGTTGTCAAGAAGTCTTTGTAATACAAAAAAGAACAATTCGAATATTGGCTAATCTGAAGTTTACAGAATCATGTATAGGTAGGTCACTTTAAAAATCTAAATTTGTTGACAGTATATGCTAGTTGCGCATATGAGAGTATTGTTTGTACATAAAATAAAAGTATATTTATTATACAGCAGACCAAAGGTTTAGAAATAATTTTTGTCTATCGACGTTACAAAACTACAGTACTGGAAAAGGATTGTTGTTACAAATGTTTGCAAGTTTATAATATACTTCCTGATTATTTAAAAAACACTAAGAGCCTATCAGCTTTCAAAAAGAAGGTCAAACAAATTTTGAATTATATTGAGTCTTACAGCTTAGATGATGTAAATGAAGTGATTGTACGTAATTATTATTTGTAAAGTTAAACTTTGGCAGTCTTTGTGAAATCAACAGAAATCTATACTAGTTTTCAACGGTAATATGGATTTTGTTGGATTTCCCCATATTTCTTAGCAAATGCATCATGAAAATTCATTTTTAAGTCACCCCGATGTGCACTTTGTAGGTCATCAAACTAGTACATATTATCCTGGCTTCTGACTTATACCATACAATTTTATATGTATTATTTCTGTATAATATTGTTCCTGGCATTAATAAATATTATTAGTTAACTATTTTTTTAATTAATAGAACGTATCAAACACGATCGATCCAAGATTAGAACCCTGCAGCGCTCCAAACGGATAATTAATTGGAATTTCGTTTTAGGTGCTGACAGACGACGAAAAAAGGCGGCAGTTCGACAACGGCGAAGATCCCCTGGACCCGGAGTCGGGCCGCGGGAACGGCATGCCGAATTTCCATCATTTCCAAAGTTTTCACGGTAGTCCTTTCCAATTTAAATTCCACTTTAACTAATTTCAATAAAACAGTATAAATCTCCCAGATACGTACACGTTTTGGTCGTCGACTCTTTTTATCATAGACATTTTTTTATATTCCCTACTCAGTAAGTTAAAAAAATGTCCACAATGTGCGTAAAGAGCGAAAGATTGTGCAATTTCAGGTAGATAAAAAAATGGCTACCGCCGATTACGAAAAAAAATCATCAGATCAGTCAATAGTTATTTCTAAAGAAAAAAAATATGTTTGGGTCCTTTCCGCCTAGAGACGTCTCTGCGAAAATTATTTTGGTTAAGTGACTCTCGTTGGAAAGTTCTTGAATGCCCCTATCTAACTGTCGATATTTTTTATTGATTGATGGATGAGATATAACCACCTAACGGTTTTTTCGGATTTATTTTTGTTTTAAATATCGAAATAAAATGTTGTACACGGTTATCTTTTATTAACGGTTTTTACGAAAAAAAATCATCATCGATGCAATCAATATATATTTCGAAAGCGAATAATTATTTTTGGACCCTACAACCTAGAGCCGTCCCTGTGAAAGTCATATTGGTCGAGTAACCACTCGTTTGAACGCTCTTACATGTCTCTAGCCATCAGACTCTTGATATTTTGAGTGGTAGTTAGGGATGATATGGGCATCTAACGGTTTTATCATTGTTTAATTATAAAAAAAAAAAAAACAGCTTCAAGTTTCTGTATCTGCCCTACTTACCAATAAAAATAAACAACAGCTGTATAATTGAATAAAGAATAACAGAGCTTTCAAACGAGGTGTCACTCAACCGATTGAATTTTCACAGGATCGGCTCCAAGGACTTAAATTCGGTAGGTTTTCGTTTTGGAAATAAAATAGCGCATCTCTTGAGTGATCTTGCTATTTATTCATTCTAGACCAACATTAACTTTGCCCAAAAACATGGAAATCTGAGTTGTTGTTTAAGATTTTTGTTAGATCTATTATGACAAAAAATCATAATCAGATCAGTCTATTTTAATTTTTAAAGTGGAGACATTTTTTGGGGCCCTTTCCTCCTAGAGGTGTCCTTGGTTTAGTGACCATTCGTTTCAAAACTCTAGAATTCTTTTATCTAAGTGCACTACTGTTGATATTTTTTATTGATTGATATGGGAGATCTGGACATCTATGTTTGCGATTTTAATTTTTTTTAATTAGAAATGTTAGATCATTTTTTTTTAACATGGGCATGTAGAACTTTTAACGGGTTTATCCTACTTTGTTTCCATATTTCTCCTACGTATCAATAAAAATGAAAAAACCGAATAATTGGATAGAGAAATGAGATGTCACTTGACCGATCGAATTATTACTCCTGTGGGAAAGGGCTCAAATTTGATCATTTTTCGTTTAAAAAATATTAATAATTTTTCTAAGGATTATAGACCAAAATTAACTTTGTGCAAAAATATAAAATTTGAGATGTTGGTTAAGGGGTCCCGATTAAAATTTCTCGGTGCATTTAATAATGTGCTTTTATTTATTTTTATTTGTTTAAGAAAGCGCATTTTCTCTTGGGACTTCATAAAATCGATAGGGTTAATTTAGGGATATTTATAGGTTTAATTTGTAATGTGTGTACCTGAATTGCACCGACAATTGTTTTTGTTGCTTCGAAAATGCTATTGTATAAAATGTATAAAAAAAATGGACTGAACTCGTAGACCATACAATGTAAATATTTTTATTATTTAAAATAAATATTTATATGAAACGAATATATGTTTTTCTTGACACATAAAACACCTATCTATTATTCACGTAACTGTCATTATAGTTTACACAGGGTATACCAGAAATAAATGCCAATTTTTAACTATTTTTTGATTAAGTCAAGTTGTGCATAAAATTGAGACTTAAATGAGATGTCACAAATTGGATTACATACAAGTTTATTGCCAATAAGATGTTATAATCTGTTAAACTATATCAATATTATTTACTATCTTCGAGTTGGGTAGTTAAGTCATAAAAGTATCAAAGTAAATACTGTCAACACAATTCGTAGAAAAGCTTCTACAATTTAACAGGTTATAAGTTCAGTCGCATAGCTCTTTTTCCGTATAAGTACAAGCCGATATAATAAAAAAAAAAACATTTATTTATTTAAGGCCCCTCAAAAATACCAGATAATAAAATACTAATTAAAAATACTATTTATTTATTTTATAATTTTTCCTATCGTCCCGACACATGCTATGAGTGCTATTTATTATGTCCCCACCAAATCCTTCCTATAATAACAATTTATGAGCTCTTTGGACTATAGACGACCGCCTCTCCATGGAAACGTAGTGGGACACGCGCTATCGCTATCTTGCAGTCGGCTGTCTTAGTGCAGATCAGGGCGCAATTTTTTCGCGGCGGACCAGCATTTAGAAATTAGATCAGCGGTCGGCAACATGTCACCGCGACGGTGAGAAAGGGAAGGACATGCATACCTAGTGATGGGATATCGAGACAGAATATCGATATTGTGTAATATCGGGTAGGAATTCTTTGTTATCTAAATTTATTGAATATTTTTGAAAGTAAAAAATTAATGTTCAACACTAATTAACAAATTCACTGACAACATAAAATATAATTCAAAATATACTAGGTATATACAATTTAACTTATTCTCAATACATTTTGTCCACAGTATGTAAAAATATATATTTTTTTTTTATTTCTCACCTGAAAGCCTGTTTCTTTTTCCGATAATAGCCCACCTTTGAAAAATAGCCGTTCAAATACAAAAATGCCTTCTGAAAAGTACAGGGAGTTAAAAAGATTTGTTCCCCAACAAATACTTTGTTAACGGCCTTTGCACGTATGTACGTTACTTCAAGTAGTGGCCTTTCGGTGGGGGTCTACAATTGGTAAGTCGACTTTTGTCACAACGACGGGCGGCAGAAGACCGTCACTTTACCAGCAATAAGTAGTGAAAGGCCTGCACATGGCCAACAGTTTCTTATAATATTAGTGTTAACTTTTGATCAAAGGCTCTTATAAAAATGATATCGAGCTTTTAAAGGGAATGTACTATGTGTGGCTTCCACAAAAACTATATTCATAAAGTATTCTAAATTAACATGTAAAAGTAAGAAATTACAATGACTTCTGAGTAGTAAATATACCAGCAATGCGAGACTGGCCGCTTACTACATGTCCACTCGTTGAGTATGTAGCAAGGTATCTCCATCTATGAATGCGGGACGGAGCTCTTCTGGACTGTTGGGGTTAGGTCTGCGGCAGTTGCCTTTTGATTTTTACCATACTTTTACAGTTGAATGTGGGGAACAGTTAAAAGGCCGTCTTCGGCCCATCAAATAATTAAAGTTAAAAGGCAGGTAATTACAAATTTCAAACGGGCCATAACGATTTTACAGCCGCATGTGGGAAACAGTTAATTTCAATGTTTGTTGGCTCAGCAAATAATTACTATATTTATGAGCAAACTTTTTCAATTCTGAATTATTGAAAAAACAAATATTGTTCTCGATGACATAAATTTTCGTAAAAACAAAAATTAAAAACAATATATGTCGATTTTTATGTTTTTTTTTAGAATAATTATTTTGTAAGATGTTTTACTATAATAAATATACTTCATTTTGTTTATTGACAATTGACAAGACGCAGTGTGCAGTGTGGTATTTTTTCTGTCAGTGAAAAAATACACACAATGTAAATAACAAATATTTTCCATAATTCCTCAAGCAAATCGCCCCTCCCCCCCCTCCAATCACCTTCGCAGCTCACGAGGTGCCACAGCACATAAAACATTAATCGGCGAAGAAGATTGGCCAATGCACAACATTCTGGACTATGAAGGCGCTCTAGATGTTATATATACAGGGCGTTTCCGAACTTGGCGTCCAAACTTGTAGGGGTGGTAGTTCGCATAATTTAAGAGCCATTGGCAGATTTCATTTTTCTAAAAAAATTATAATAAACAAAATAGAGCCATTATAAAAAAATCAAAGAGCGGGTCCTACCCTGAGCGCGTATCATCGGGATTTACAACTCAAAAACAGATGCGATTTGCAATTTTGTCGATTCTAAGCAAACTTACGGAGAACTCGATCGTAGCGCGCGGGAGTTGAGGCGATCCATCGCTGTGCAGGACCGTACCTGTTTAAAATTTTTAATTATTTTTATTTTAAATATTTTGGAAAAATAAAATCTGCGAATCGGCCTCAAATTATGCGAACTACCACCCCTACAAATTTGGACGCCAAGTTCGGAAACACCCTGTATACAGTATGTCCCCCTAAGTTGGAATCATATGGAAAACTTTTTTATTATTAATTTTAGGAAAAAAAGTTATTCTTCTTAAAAAGTTCTGCATTATCTAAAACCTAGAATACAGTCATCAAATATCAAATTTTTTAGTGGTATACGAGATTTGTCAAAAAATATGAGTTTTACTCAAGAGTAAATTATCTTTATTCTTTCCCCGTACAAGCTCCAGCTTTTGGGGTTAAAATTCACTCGTAAGGGGGTGAATTAGGGAGAGTATTATTATTATATTTTACGACAGATAAAATTTGATATCTGATGGTTCTATTTTAGACCATGCTCGACTTTTTATAAAGAATAACGATTTTTCCAATATTAATAATAAAAAAGATTTTCATATGCCGCCAATTTACGTACAGTTGGTGGCATAGGAAAGCTTTTTTATTACTAATTTTAGGGAAAAAAGTTGTTCTTTATAAAAAGTCGAGCATGGTCTAAAACCTAAAATACAACCATCAAATATCAAATTTTATCAGTCGTATAAAGAATAAAGGTACTTTACTCTTGAGTAAAAATCATATTTTTTGACAAACCTCGTATACCACTGAAAAAATTTGATATTTGATGACTGTATTCTAGGTTTTATATAATGCAGAACTTTTTATGAAGAATAACTTTTTTTCCTAAAATTAATAATAAAAGTTTTCCATATGATTCCAACTTAGGGGGACATACTGTATATGACATATTTTCTATGTTACTTTTAAAACTAGGTTGAAAAATTGGATTGTAGAAGCTGCGGGTTGTAAAACTAAATTCTCGTAAATTTTTTTAAGAAAAAAATTGATTTTCGAGATTAAATTTTCAAAAGGGGGATTTCAACAGAAAAATAGCAATATCTTAATTTTTTTTAATCAACATTTTTTCGTCAACTTTTTTTTATTAACATTTTTATGACATTATTTTCTATGTTAGTTGTAAAATAGAAATAGTGTAAGGTCATATGCAGAGACTAGCCATTAAGTTGGGTTAAAATAATTTTTGAAAAAATATCGCTATATAATATAATTTAGATATATGATAATATAGAGTCACAAATAATTTTTAACTTCAACAATGACAAATGAGAATGTAAATGGTCAATCACGTGACTTTGAAAATGTAAAATTTGACAATTTTTCCTTAAAATCGCAAAAATGGTATTTTTCAAAATATCGAAAAATGCTTGAGGAAAAAGTTGCTTATTATTTAATTCGAGTGACCTAAAAGTGAATTGGTAATAAAATTGAAAAAACAGAAGCTGAAATAAGTTGGTTTATGCACAAAAAACTTAATAAGCAACTTTTCCCTTCAGGTCTTTCATAAAATTTCTGGTTCTACTTTAAAACTAAATTGTTCTCATTAATATTTTAGAGATTACATTTTCCAGAAAGATTTCAACAAAAATGGCAATATAATTTTTTTTATAAACACTTTTTCCGTCATTGACATTATTTTCTACATGTTGGTTGTAAAATTTGATTTTAGAAGCTGGGTTGTATAAATTTTCATAAAAATTCAAAAAAAAAATTGATTTTCGAGATTTCTACAGAAAAATGGCAATGTAATACTTTTTTTTTTATGAACATTTTTTCAACTTTTTTTTTTAAACAATTTTTCATTGATATTTTCTATGTCGGCAGTGAAACTAGGTAAAAAAAATTCGAAGTAATGATTGCCATTATGAGCTCCAAAAATAGTCATTACACTACTAAAGCTCATCAGGCAGTTAGGTTAAAAACAAGATTATAGTTGGTCGAGACCTGATAAGAGAACAAGGAATGTTTAATAAGAATACTCTCCCTAGGTTAGGTTGAAAATGAGTGGGATGATCTCATCTCCTTCCATTGCGATCCAGGATGGATCTATTGTGGCTCATGAAGGCCTATAAAGATTTAAAAAAATGTAATGATAATGAAAAACTAATGAAATGGAATATTTTTAAACAACATAGAAATAGTGTCGTAAATTTGCTAAAATTAAAAAAAGAACAATATTACTTTGACAAAATTGACAGATATAGAGGAAATCCTAAAGATATATATGTCGAAAACTTTAAAAAAATTAGTCAATGGCAATATGCATAACAAGCCGAATAATGTAAGTTTCGCAAATAATGAAGGTAGGAAAGTAATAACAAACAGCACTGAAATATCGTTTGCTTTTAATGAATATTTTCTTAATAGTGTTGGACGCATTGTTCAAAGTATTCGCTCCGTGCGCGACAGCAGCGCCAATTCGTTTTGATACTAATGGACTATTTCTGCGTACACCGACAAATGCAACTTTTAATAGAATTCGTAATTAAAAAGTATATATGGTAGTTTTAATAAAAGTATATGGATTTGTAAAACAAGTAAAACATTATTATTATTATATATTTTTATCGCTTAAATTAAAGAAAATTATGTATAATCGATAAAAATCAATAATAAAATATAGGCAGGCAACAGTATTTACTGGAAAATGTATGAGAAGTTGCCTTAGTCTAATAAGTTTTCATTGAAGAATTAGTCTATTCTGTCAAAATAAAAAAATACCATTTAATAATAGCGTGAAGTTAAAATGTATAAAAAAAAGGATCATTACTTATGTTTTCATTTTTGTTCGAAAGAAAACATAGAATGAATGATTAAAACTGATTTCCCATCAGTAAGTTACAAAATTGCGTTCCAACCACATATAATAATCAAAGGCAGAAATCTTGAAATCTAGTCCTTGCTGAATGAACATTTAAGAATAAGGGATATTATATATGAACGATATCGAACTATTCATAAACTGCTTTATTAATCTATTTGCAGATGATACCTTTATTGCATGTAGTGATTCAAACTTGGAAAGTGCCGTTCAAAAAATGAATGTCTTAAAAACTTTAAGCAAATATTTATCAATTAATAAATTAAAACTAAATGTCGAAAAAACCCATGCAGTGATATTTACATCTAAATACAAATATAATTTACTAAATTTAAATAATATAAATTTATCTATTAACAATGAAAGAATAGAAATTGTTACATCAGTAAAGTACTTGGGGTTTTACTTAGATAATTCTTTAAACTTTGATGTTCACTTTGATTATATTTACAAAAAAATATTAAAAAAACTTTATTTTTTTAGCAGAATAGCACAAAATTTATCAGTTAACACAAGAATTACTGTTTACAATATGATCATTCAACCTCACTTTGATTATTGTGCATCTATTTTGTACTTACTAAAACTCAATAAACTAAACAAGCTTCAAAAACTTCAGAACCGTGGTATGAGGATAATCTTAAGAACTAATAGATTTACTCCAATAAAAAATATGTTATATTCTCTAAAATGGTTTTCAGTAAAAGATAGGTTATTTTATTTTTCCATGATTTTGGTGTATAAAATTGTAAATCAGATAGCTCCAAAATATTTACAACAATACATCACTTTTAACAAAGATGTTCATTCACACAACACAAGAAATGTTAATAATATATATTTCACGAACTTTTTATAAAAGTACTATGGATTCATTATTTTTTAGTTTTCTCAGATTTTAACAACTTACCCATAGATGTGAAAGACTCACATTCTCTCAATGTATTTAAAAGAAAGATCAAAGAATTTTTAATGAGATAGTTTTGTTGTGTTGTATTATGTTTCGTTCTCATTTATTGTAAATTTATGTAAATTCTTTTTTATGCTTTTGAAGTCGATTGTTTTACTGTGTTGAATTTAATTTTTGTTTTATATTTCTTACTTAAATAATAACTGCCATTTTTGGCAATTGTATTTATATATATATATATATTTTTATTATGCTTTGTAATTTGTGTTTTATATGTATATTAGGGGTTCCTAATTATTAAATAAATGATTATTATTATTATGAATAACTTAAGAGTTCACCGAACAAGCCACACCTTTTGATGAAGGCCATGGTTGATTTTTGTGAGACTTGTTTAAAGTCGGTAGGCTCCAGTCAGGTAAATCTGAAGATCTGGACCTCTTCATAAGTGAATGTTAACCCCTGAAACCAATTGAACTTGCATGAGGAACAGCTATTATTTTGTTTGCCGTGGCGCCCCAGAGATAATTTAAAGATAGTGGCATTGACGTACAGGTGAGGAAAACCTGCTAAACCTCACCCACCATCATAATGAATATTATTAAACAATAAACTTTATAAAAAAAAAAACAAGAAATTCAATAAACGTTCTATTGAAAAACAAATTTACAAATTTTTCTTATATGTATTAAAAAGATAAACTATATCTTGGATGGGTACAGCATCTGAAAAAAAAAAAGAAACATCAATATACATATAAATGCATCTCTTAACATAAAAATAAAGAAATGTTGAATCAGTAAAAATTTTTCAACATGAATTTTATTTAATTCAGGTTTCAAATGTCAAAAGCATCATGTTCAGTTTAAATTTTATACAGTAAAGAACATATGTATAGCAAGAAAATACTTCAATATAAAAATTTGGTAAATGCATAATTTTAAATTTTTTAAGTAAATGTAAAAAATGTTCTTTAAATTGAACATCCAATATCAATATAAAATTAATGTTTTCCTATGACAGTAAGTATAATGTCCATACTGCTAAAAATAACATAAAAAAAAGTTTCAGAATAGACTACATTAGTGGATACATTAAGATTCTCAAAAAGCCCTCATCTAGTCTTAAAATTTATTCAACTTTAGAGCCCCAAATAAATTGATGAACTGATGGATTAAATAGAAAATATAGTTCCACATTTTATTAAATTGTAAACTTTTGCATAATATTTAAGGGTTTATATTATGTACTAGGTCATATTCTAAAAATATGTAGAAATAACTGAGATTATTTATGTGAACTAAAAATATTTGAATTTAAAAAACACCAACTTTTAGCCAAAGAAAACAAAATTATGTAGGACTCATGTAGGTACTATGGGGATTGCCTACTTTTAGGGACCTTGCACATCACAATAATAGAGTGTATTATATTATGCATGTAATAGGTAATTGACTTTTTTATATTTTCTATACTATAACAAGGGTGAGATTACAGAACTTCTGTAACTTTGCAGATCTGCAAATATGGCGGCAACTTTGCAGATTGCAATTATAGCGGTGACTTCATCAGATACTTGCATCTGAAAGTCCGCCATATTTGCAGATCTGCAAAGTTGCAGATGTTCTGTAATCTCACCCTAAATTACTAATAAGTACATATGTTTAACTAGTTATACCTAGGGTTACCAGATGTCAGGAAAAGTCTGGACATGTCCAAAATTATGGCATTCCAGAATGTGCTGTATAAATCATACTTTTGGCTGTTGAAATTAACTTTTTTTTGTGTTAAATATTTAATGTCTTATATAGTTGTTTGTGTATGCCATTTGTATCATTATATTTTGTTTAATTTCAAGAATTTTTAATTGAGAAACTGTTTGTTTTTAGTCTTCAACGCTAGGTGCCTTTTTTAAAAAAAACCTTTAGTAATTATTTCATATTTTGGAGTTTGAGTTTGTATGGATTATTAAAGAAATGTCCAGAATTTTAATTAGGTATGTCAGGAAATTGTATTTTTGAATATGGTAACCCAAGTTATATGTAAAAAGTGGCAAATTTTACTTCCTTAACATGTTGACTATATACAAGATAATTTGTAGTTTGCGTTCTTGGTTAGAATGCCCACTATGACTTAACATGTAGTTTGTTTACTTGACATATTTGTGAAACTATGATTAAATTCATAATATATTAGAGATCTCTTGGGAAGAGAACAAAAAATCAAGGCTGACTTACATGAAGAGACATTTGTGAATAAACAGAAAATATATTGGTATAAAATTTATTCAAAATCAAAAACCAAAAGAGTATTTTTATTTGATTTACCATTAACAAGATATTTTGTTAGCTTAAAACATCTATGCTTTTCGATGATCACTGTGTACTCTAATTAGTTTTTATTAAAATACAAAATTAAATTAGCTTTCTAGACCAGGATCCTGAAAATTACCGTCACAATCAACATGTTAAGACACTTTCAACAACGTAAGTAAATTTCAAATTAAACAGTTACAGCTCTTTAAAAGTATAAAGGCCAGAGTTAATTTTCAAAATAAGGTAAAAATCTACTTACAATGCGAATACGATGCCCCATAGCCTTAGCTGGTAAATTCCTATCAAATCTGGCTCGTACGGCTCCCCTGGTACCATGTGGCCTTGTCACTTTTCCCCAAATAGCCCTAACTTTTGATTTAACAGATTTGGGTCTACCAGGAACACAGGTCTTGTTTTTGGCTTTGTAAACGTATACGCATTTCTTTCCTACGTAAAACCAACTTTCTGGTTTCGATGTGGTACCCTCAACGGATAAAAGTGCTGTGCTTTCATGTTGATTACGAAGTCCCCTTTTGTAACCTGTGAAGATGGCTTTAGCATATAAACGACCGTGCCTTTTCAAGGGGCGTCTCTTAACGGAAGGTTTATCACTTGGCGGTGCGCCTTCTTTTACGGCCTTCTTTTCAGCCCTTGGTTTCTTTGCCGCTGCATCTGCCATTCCTAAAACACAACCATGTTAGCTGTCAAAATATATTTGTAATATCCTAATTCATCTTATAGATCTCAACAAATTTGATACACTGCATATTTAATATAAAATGTTTAGACTTTATTTCGTCTAGATCCATTTATATTTTCATTAATATTTTGCGAAAAATTGGAATATTTTCAAAAAATTATTAATAACACTCACCGACTGTTTATGTGAGAAGTAAAAAGAATTAATTTATTTTATTTGCTACAGATGGCGCTTTTGATAACTGTCAAAACGTGTATCTTCTTTTTCTACTTATTTAATTTAAGAACGTTGACATTGCAGTATTACAGTCCAAAATGTTTGAAAGGAATGTAGGTTTAATAAACAAAACAGAAGAAAAAGAAGAAGAGTTATGTTTACTACAACCACAGACTACAACCAATATAGTTATAACACATACTTTGATTTTCTTTTACTATACGGGAATGGTCGCACTGCGCAGCTTTCTGAGTGCCTTTTAAAAGGAGATAGAAAACTCCGCCATTTTGAACCCTTATTACGTGTTGCCTACATCTTGGCGCAATATTTTTAATAGGTGCGTTTTAATCATCCGCTTCTGCTTCGGAATTGTCGGTTTTCTTGTTTTAATCTGACAGGTTAAAACGACTAAACCGACAATTCCGGAAGCAGAAGCGGATGATTAAAACGCACCTGATATTTTGCTTGCTGCTGTCAGTGTCAATATTAATATCGCTATCATATAATCAGTATCTCTCTTTCTAATGAAGGCTTTCTCACTCGTTTTAGAATTCTCAGCAGTAGCGTACCGTAAAACAATTTCGCTGGGTCATTTTAAATGCGAAAATGTTGACCAAATAGAATATAAAATAAAATGTTTTAAAAGGTAGGTAGGTGCATTTTTAATGAAGTGAAAACAAAATATGACTTTTTTGTTATGAATATAATATTAATAACAATTACTTTTAACACCACAACACGAACAAATTTAAAATAAACACTGGAATAATTGTCTGAGAAAAGCTTTGTAAAACTGACAAATACAAACAAAGAGATAGAGATATTAATCTATTTCTCTCTAATTAGAATTCTCGACCATATTATCATGGCGACACAAACATTGTTTACTGTCCTCTCTTTACTACTTACTTACCCTGAGGTTTGGGCGGATACTAAAACGTATGTCTACACTAATGTGCCAAGCAAGAATTTTAATTTAAGCTATGTCCAGGCCATTGGAGTCTATGCGGGTTGGCGTAGCCAGGTATGGTTAATATTTTCTGGTGGGTGCGAAGACGCCACCCTACGAGAAGTCGTTGCATCGTCTTCGTTGTCTGTCAGAACAAGAGAAAGCAGCAATAAGTAATACCCTCCCAAACTACAAATCTACCTTTTTTCTCCTAAATATTCAAATGCTGATATTTTATTCTAAAACACATTTGGACCAGAACGGTTCTGTTTCGTAGTCTTATTTACATATGGATGAGCAATCTATATAATTATATACAGCATTGAGTACAACTGCCAGATATATTTGTAGTGAGTTTTTGCGGTTATGTTTATGTAATTAAATTTTCAAAAATAATTTCAGTTTCTTAAAATGAAAACACTATTCAGGAAAAAAGTTATTCAGAAAATCTGTTCCACTTATTATTCTTCTTCAAAAGTAACAGTTGTCACTGCATAATTTTACGCACTAGTTCATTAGAATTATAATTTTAGGTAGCCGAAGTAAATACTCCCTATCCAAAAAGGATATTTTCGGGGATCCAACCAACCGGTGCTATACATTTAGGAAATTATTTAGGTGCAATTTCACAATGGGTCAAAATGCAAGATCAAAATGAAGATGTGATAATTAGTATTGCCGATTTACATTCTATAACACTACCACATGTAAATATTAATATTTTTAGTAATAATAGGTATATTAATTATTAACTGTTGTAGGATCCTAAACAGTTATCTAGAAATATTCAAGAAATAGCTGCTACTTTATTAGCTTGTGGAATAGATTCTCAAAAAACTATTTTATTCCAACAGTCTGCTGTTTCTGCACATACTCAATTATCATGGTGCCTAAGTTGCATTTGTACAATGCCGAGGTAATTTACATGATAGAATAGAACATACATTTTGTCTTATTTTATAAATGTGCCTTTGCAGGTTAGCACATTTACCACAGTACAAAGAAAAATCAAAAGATTTGAAAGATATTCCTTTGGGTTTGTTCGTTTATCCTGTATTGCAAGCAGCTGATATTTTAGCTTATAAGTAAGTTAAACATCTATAATTTATGTATTACTAATTATAAACTTTAGGGCTACTCATGTACCTGTAGGTGAGGATCAGATCCAACAGATTCAGTTGTGTCAAGAATTGGCTAGGATGTTTAATAAAAGGTTTGGAGAAACTTTTCCTGTTCCTCATGCTGTTTCAACAGGTAAACTTTATTGATATATTAATATTATGTAAAATAACAATTTATTCTAAAATTTAAATAAATTGGGAGAAATTATCTTAAGTCTATTTTATAAATTACGTTTTCTTGATCAATACACATTATTAATGTTTATTTACAATATCTATCTGCTTTCATCTTACTCCTTCTATCCAGCAATGATTCATGTAAAATCCCCTCTTCTTGTGCCTTTTTCAACTTATCTGTCCCTTCAGTACAAATTCTCATCTTCTTATCTTGGAACTTTTGAAACTTCTTTATGTAATTAATCTCAATCTGCTTCACATTCCCTTGGTCTTCAGTGCCTGCATCTGCTTGACTTGTATCTTCTTTAATAGTTTGAGACCTCAATGTTAAGTACTGTTCCTCTCCTGCTTTCTTTGCATTTGCAACTACTGTGTCATCTTCAGGGCTGACGCTTAAAAAACAATCATTGTAGCCTATTAAGGCTGTTTTGCCTCCTTCAAAGACGGGTTCCCATTGCTCCATGGCACCTATTGCATCACTCCTACCTGTAATGACTCCATTCTTCTCAACTCTTAGGTATTTATTGTAACCCGATTTAAAAGCCACTTTTCGCTCATTGATGGGTACTGCTGTGAGTATTTCTTCAGGAGATGGGCCTTGCCCATCCTCGTGAGGGGCTCCTAAAGTGAATAAACCATTATCTAAAGCTTTAACATATGTATGGCTACCGAATTCTATAGCAATAGGGCCGACTATTTGCTCTATCTTCGTCACGCCCCACCAATTACCATGTTTAGTACAGTCCAGATCTATTTTTGGAGTTTCGGTTTTTTCCTTTTTTGGTTTGTGTTTTCTTTTTTTAGATTTTTGTTTTTCTCCTTTTAATACCAATTTGCCCACCCGTACTTTCTCGTATTCAGACATTTTGTTTGAAAACTTGTTTCAGGTGTTGAATTTGCTAGGTTAAGGAGTTTGAGAGACCCAATGAAAAAGATGTCCAAATCCGATCCAGATGCTAAAAGTAGGATATGCTTGACCGATAAGCCTGACGATATTGTTAGAAATATTAAAAAAGCAGTCACTGATTTCACTTCAGAAGTAAGTTTAAACTTGAAAACTAAAAATGAATAATATAAATATGAAATATACACATACTTAAGCTAGTTCCTCAAGAAGCAACCAAAATTAATTATGACAGATGAAGTAGAAAAGTATTGGTTATTAGGAGATAGTTCATTTTGTATTGTTGTTTTTATTTATGGCAAAAAGTAAAGTGAAAGCACCTTAATACTCGTTTTGACATTGACAGTATTGACAATTTGCTCTTCTTCTTTTAGATTAAGATCTGGATATCATCGGCGATCACTTAATTTTTTTTTATCTCCATCTAACAATGTATTCAGTTCAATTAATTATTCCAATTAAATTATTTTACTATATTGGAATATTGTTGTTTTTTTTAGCTAACTTATGATCCTGAAGCAAGACCAGGTGTCTCTAATTTAATAAATATTCATTCTTTTGTAACAAATGAATCAGTTGAAGAAATATGTAGGCAAGCAGAAAATTTAAATACAGGACAGTGAGTTTTATATTTTAGTCATTTGCATTAATTATTTTATATTATTCATTGCGTCTGTTATGCGATATTTTCTTTATTTTTAGATACAAACTTGTAGTAGCAGATGCAGTTATTGAATATCTAAAGCCCATACAGGACAAAATATCAAAATATTTATCAGATTCAGATCTTTTGATGGGAATTTTAGAGGAAGGTCGACAAAAAGCCAATGAAATAGCATCCAAAAATTGGATAGAAGTTCAAAATAAATTAGGTCTTAAGTTTGAAATTAAAATAGACAAAAAAGTGAAAATATCATCATAAAAATTGTTAATAGATAATAAATATGTGTAATCCATGTTCATATATTTTTTTTATTGGTATCATCACATTCTAAAATTTCTGAATTGCACAAACTCAGTAAAACTTAGGACGTTCAATTTCAGGCAAGTATTCATAAAATGTCTTTGATATGCTCTAAACTTTAGTAAACAATAATGGAAATTTCACTATTTTGTCTGGAGAAACATAAATATCAAGTGACAGGCCAGGGCTGGTATATCTAAGGGGGTCGGGACATAGACCCAGTAAATGGATGAGGGGGTGACTGAGGCTAGGGGGGAAATAGTAGTCAGCTTAAGTTGGCAACACTTTTCCGATGTTCGTTTGAACGAGCATCGTGCATAATAATGTCAATATGGTGCAAGTGGAATGAACCACTGTTTTCCTCGTAGTCGTAGCGTAGTCCAATGTCGAATTAAAACTAAAAACATTTTGTACTTTTTTATATACCAAATTATGCAATTTGTTTCCACTTTATTTTAATATTACATGAATAGGTACATGCGTTTGTGCTGTGGTAAATAAGTGTTCATGTGAAAATTATATCTTAAACTACATTGTGACTGCAGGCATCTCGAAAGTGAATGCTGTAAATCCAGGATTTAAATCTTTCATAGTGTTGCTTGGGATAAATTGTAATGTAAAAAAGGTGTTGGACAAAACCATTATTAAAGAGAAATTAGTTATCATCAATAAGATATTTTGTAGTAGCTGGTCTCTATAAATAATAAACTTGAAAGTTAAAAGACTGAATTAGTAGTCACTTTTACACTAGAAGTAAATACAAAAAAAAAGTGTGGTTGAGACTAATTTGTGTATTTAATAAAAACATATTTAACATAAAAGCAGGTGTTATTTGAAATGTTTTATTTTAGTTTAATAATCTTTATAAATTGTGGGTACATTTGATCGGAATCTTGCAAATACTATAAAATGCATATGCTTCTATATGGTTAGTATTGGAGTAGAAGCACAAAAGTTTTGAATAAAAATATATTCTTTAAATACAATATTCACTAGATATGCTAATTATCTATTTGAAACCATACATGTTTTCTATTATAGTTTTCATACGTTTATAATTCTGGAGATACCTGAATATTTTGCTTGATTACTAAACTTTGGATGTTTTTGTTGTAGTCTGCTGTTAACACTATTGTCCTGAAATATTAAAAAAGCTAGACAAAGGTTTGTCCAACTCTTTTGTCAGCTTTGTTAATCTATGCTACTGTTATTCTGCATGTAGACATTTTTTACTGGAGATTTTCTCTAAGAACTATTCAATTTCAAATTTCGGCCAGTTTTAGGAAAGTACCTCTGTTGTAAAGGTATTTCAAAGCCATCCTTTGTGAGATGTAGACAACAAATACATGCTAAAATGTATAGAAAACAAATCGCAAGATATTACACAAAATTATTTAAATTAACTAAAAACATACAAATGAAGTGAATAATACCTACCAACAATTTAAAAAGACCTAAAATAAATAGACTTAAGGGACTGGAGCTCTAAAAAAGGGAGCAATAATTTGTTATGCATCATCTATAAGAAAATTGTATTCATCTCTTCAATTACCTTTTAAACTAAACAAAACCAAAACAGCACAAAATTGAAGGTGATCTACTTTTCCCGACGTATTCTATGTACGTCTGAGATTAATAATTTATTAAATTGAAATATTTTATCCTAAAAAATATGGGCATTTTATAATGGAAATGTCATTTAAAAAATGACATAGATTTTTTTTCTTATATTGGTAAACCTGGCGACTACAAGTTGCCACGTTGCCAGATCAATGGCGACTACTATTTCGAAAAAAATGGCGTCCAAAATGGACTCCTATGTCGCGACCCCCTTAGATATACCAGCCCTGGTGACAGGCATATTATTTTGGAAAGGTTCATTATCGGCGATTTAAGCAAAGTGGAGTGATACGCCCCCTGCAGAAAATTTGCAAGAGGTGTCTGTAAGTAGGATTTCTTCCAGTGTTGCCAACAGTGGCGGAATTCCGCTACGTCAGAGGATTTTTACACTTTAGCAGTGGGGAAGACCTTTTTTTAAGTAGCGAAATTTGTTTCTACCAATATGTAATCGCATACTATATTTAAGGATTTTTATAAAACCGATTTAATTATATTGATTTTTCTTTAAATTTCAATTAATTTATCATTTTTTAAGCTATTGCATAGCTTTGAGCGCGGCGACCGAATCAAGAAATTCCGTAACAAAAATAAACCGACCAGCACAGCAGTGCGGCGTTGAAAGCCGTGCATCGTCTAACGTCGTTTCAGTTCGGCAGACTTCGGCACGGTGTTTGTGTGCGTGCGACTAGACGTATGCGTGTAGACTAGCTGCTAACTGCTCATAACTGATTCTATTTCTTTTAGACACAATTTCGGAAAAATTGAATTTGAAAATGAATAATCCACAAGAATCCACAACAAAATATGGGACCACCATTGACGCGGTATATTTCCAGATATTTAGAGGATATCAAGTCTCAAACTTATGTTTCTTATTTCAGTTACCATAAACCTATAGTTTCAATGATAAAAATTCCTGAATAACCTACATGTATTGTAAGATAATAAAAATATTTTAAACAATATTAACTTCTCATTTATTCAATAAAAGAAAATCGAAAAATGGAAAAATCGAAAAACCGAAAATTCGAAAAATCGTAAAACCAAAAAATGGAAAAATCGAAAAAGAAATTCCGTAACGAAAATAAACCTAACACCCCCACTCCAACCGGCACACAGCGATGCGGCGTTGAAAGCCGTGCATCGTCTAACGTCGTTTCAGTTCAGCAGACTTCGGCACGGTGTTTGTGTGCGTGCGACTAGACGTATCAGTGTAGACTAGCTGCTAACTACTCATAACTGATTCTATCTCTTTTAGACACAATTTCGGAAAAATTGAATTTGAAAATGAATAATGATCCACAAGAATCCACAACAAAATATGGGACCACCATTGACGCGGTATTTTCCAGATATTTAGAGTATATCAAGTCTCAATAAACTGATGTTTCTTATTTTAATTACCATAAACTTATATAGTTTCAATTATAAAAATTCCTGAATAACCTACATGTATTGTAAGATAATAAAAATATTTTAAACAATATTAACTTCTCATCTTCTTCTCATTTATTCAATAAAAGAAAAAAAATTGTTTTCTTATCGGTCACCACGCTCAAAAAGTGTAACTTGAATTAATATCAAAGAAAAAACTTGAATTTATATTAAAAAAAATACTGCATAAATAAAATAAATAATTATAATTGCATAAGTTGATAAAAAATGCTATGCAATAGCTTTACCGCGGTAGTCCCCGAGTGCCACACGTATTTTTTTTTATTAGTTTACAGGAGGCAATACTATCATCGTATTTGTTGTTTATTTAGTTTAATATTCAATTATCAATTAGAATTTTTTTTCTTTGTGTGTTAGTGTTTATATTAAAAATAAAATTTGCGAAAACGAAAGTTTTTATTACTTTCTAAGCGTAACTCCTAAAATTTTGTTTCTTGCGATAAATGGATATCTACAAATTCTCATTATTGCTGATTTTTCAACAATATGTAAATGACTTCGAAAAGCAGTTGCTCTGCTCGCGGCCATGTTGCCTTTCCAAGAGGCTGAACATAATCTGTCTGGTGTAAAAGTGATGGAGAATCAAATTTCAGCCTTTAAATATTTTATAAAAAAATAATCTTAATGTTTACTTAAAGACACTAGCTTAATAATAATTAATAATGAATTATATATAAAGAAAAAGTTCCTTGGCCTATATAAAGCTGTAAAAATATATTATTGACAAGAAATCACGAAACGTAAAGAATATAGGCCAGTATATATAGTAAAGGGGATCCTCAACGGGCATTGCCGACTTAATAACGGACACTTTACTATACTGGGGGAATTGTAGAAGATAGTTGGTGCATATTCTGTGAAGAGTAGGAGGAAACCTCCATTCATAGTCTTACCGAATGTGTAGCACTAGAAAATTACAGGGAACTATATATACTGTTACCTTTGTTTATTTTAAACAACCCTTTACTTGTTAATAATTTATTTGAACACTTATTTATTTTAAACAATACTATTCGAATTTATATATTTCGAATGTCTAAACTGTTCACTATTTATCTTCACGGCTATTTGTATACAACTGACTGCTGCGTCGTTATTCCTCCACCAATATTTTTATACACCCCAGCTAGCACAAAAACATCCCATCTACGTTAATAAGCTGCAATTTTAGGCTCTTTAAGCTCGCATGCAATGTACCGTAAACGTAACCCTATTATCCCTGCAACTACCGAATGTCCGCAACTGCAAGACTTTTATAGCACATCTCGTAGAAGTTATAAAGTGAAGTTCGGAAAACATCACACTAGCACTTTTACGGTACTTACCCCGAAAGTTGCTCTGAAACGTTCTATTGATGTTATAATGTGAATTAGATCTACAGCATTATACAGTGTGTCCACGGATGGGCTTAACTATACTTGTGAAAATATTTATTTTAAATTAAAAAAGTAATTCTTCATAATTTCTTGCTTGTTAAATAAATTCGATTCACATTGAGAAATTATGAAAAATAACTTTTTCTTTAATTTAAAATAAATATTTTTACAAGTATAATTAAGTCCATCCATGGACACACATTGTGTAATGTAATACAGAGAGGCTGAAATTGAGGCTATAGTAAAATCTCAATCGAGACATGAAATTTTCAAATAAAACAAAATATTTATATAAATTTATTATTAAAATGTTCTTGAAATCAAGTACCAATAGCACAAAAGTAGAGGTAGGTGTAGGCGTGTTCTTTTATTCAGTGCTGTATCCAGCGCTTGCAGCAAACCGTTCGTAAATTAAGTGATTGAAAGACGATTGTATGTGTCAATCATTCTTTTTTCTAGCGGTGAGTTCACCAATGAGCCAAGGCATCCATCGGCTTTAAAAGCCGATGGATATGTGATAGACGAATGGTGAGGATAATCAATCATTTAAGTTAACCTAAAATATAAGAGTTCAAATATAAAACGACTGCAGAATAGATAAATTACATCAATCACTGATAGAACAATTATTGAATAAAAGAACACACCTTATATCACAAACACAAGTACACATGTGGGATAGAAGAAGCTACCTAGAAAGCACTGAACGATTGGACAAAATTAGCTAAATAGTATAATAAGGTACCAATATTGCAAAGGTTCACTAAAACCTTAAATGGTGAACGATGATTAAGCTAGATTGGTGAAAAATAATAAACAAATACAACAATGACTGGGTACATATTATTATATTAGATTACTAGAGGATAGCTAAGTTAGCTGATTTCTTACCTAAGACGCAGAGATATATCTTTTTTAAATCAAGCCTTTTAACTTTTTTTGCATAGATATTTATAAAGTGCTATAATGTAACCTAAATATGACAATTTATTAGAAGAGAATAAATTATATTTTTATATAAAAAGATTTTACTTCTCAATACATTGAATAAAAAAGAAATTGATAACTTGTTTACCTATTATTAATTAAAGGAAATTATATAGAAATTAAAAAATATGCCTTACTTTGTTGTTTTAAATAAAACAACCAATGTTAGTGTATTGAAATTTGTTTGAATTTTACAAATTTTATGCTTGATTTCCAAAGTAGATATATCGATGGCTCAATCAAAAAACGCCACAAGTCAAAAAACAAAGCAATTACATTTTTGGTTCAATGGATGCAACATATCATTACGGTTTTACTTTAAATACCACCACAAACAAAAATATCCTTAAAGATAAATCATTTAAAATGTAGCCACAAACTGTGTCTAAAACTGACTCAATTCGAGTTATTTTCTTCAAAAACACCCAAATTTTTTACAACTATGCAACAACTCACTTTTATAATCATAATCATTTTATTTAACAGCAAAATATCGAAGCTTTTAAATAAAATATAAAGAGTATGTCAAAAACAAAATAATGATAATAGAGACTTACAAAATTTCAAAATGAAATTTCTCGAAATAATAGTAATTTAGTTGTGGCAGTATTTGATTGAGCCATCGATATGTAGATTTTATAAAAAACAAGTGGTGTTTTTTAGCAAGATATTCTATTATACTTGAGAGTATCATCTATGATTTCTTTCAACATTTCTGCTGGGTTTTCACTTGAAATGATGGTTGCATTTCCAGGCAATCTAGCCTGTTGAAGAAAATGAACTGCTTGAATTCTGATATACCTGACATATCATGTACCTATAGATTCACTTTTTATAAAACTTCAGGTGTTATATTCTTCTTTACACTTCTGTAGTATTTACTTTTGCTTCTAAAATTCCTAGAATGTCGAAGGAAACCTAAAAAATAATATTTTTAAAATGTATTTTTAGTTCGACAAAGTATAATTACCTTTTATAAGTATTTGGTGTAAAATGTTGCCGGACATTCGGTTAAATGTTTATCTTCTGGTTTACAACGATTGATCTGCAATTCTTTGTATTTATTGTAGTTTTTTTTTTATTTGGTGTCATCGGCATCGACTGCTAAAGATACTTAATGAATGAAATAATAAATTTACATCAGGCATTGTAATCTGAAACAAAGACAATGGTTTAGAAAATATTTATCTATTTTATAGAGGACCCTTACCAAATCTATTCGAATGTATAAATAATAATTATTTATAAAATAAATTCTGGATGTCGAAAAATAAACCATTAAAAAAGACAATTGACAAGAAAAACTGACAAGTGACAATTGACATAAAACTAAACGTTCTGAAATCAGATTTGTAATGTTTACGGTAGGTTAACTAGGTAAATAACAAATAGAAGTTTTGCGAGGTTTTGATTTCCCTCAACAACTTCTCATGAACGTTGCATTTACGTTGTATAGTAATGTTATTACGTTCCCTTAATGCAACATCGCCGAAAGGCTTGGCAACGTTATGTGCTAGCTGGGACATTTCAAATTCTGGTGGATTCCAGAATGATCTCCGCCAAAACTAGAAACATTATCACGTTCTACCTGGAAAGTTCTCGAAAGCGCCTTCACCATAGTCTTAACATATGTTTGGTCTTATAAGGGGTTTAATTATGTATGATAATCTTACAAGTTGAGCTTCAATGGCCAAATAAGACAGAGGCACTTACGGCCATATGCACCATTGTCCAGCTAAGTCCTCTGTTATCTAACAGTAGTATAAAAAATAACAGTGCGTTAACAGAATTTGCTATGCACCATCTATTTACCAGTTTCAATAAGAAATCAGTCTGTTACGTATTTATTACTGTTCATATCCTATAAAACCTTATATAGCCCTTCAAAATAAACAAGTGAAATTAAAATAGTCTGATATGTAAAATTAACAGGCCAAATTTGGTTTGTTACATTAACAACGCCTTTAATAGATTGTTAGTCGTATTTTGTAATGGTGAATACAAAATTGTCAATTTAACAGTCAGTTATGTAGTTAACTCTCTGATAACTATTAACAGAGGATTAGAGCATGACTGAATAATGAAATGGCTCATATTACAATACTTAAAGGAACATACCAAATAGAAGAAGGCGATCTACCAAGCTTGGATCCACTACAAAATCCTACATTTCCTAGGGAATATAGGATTGGAATACGGGTCGCGGTGTATTAACATCCCATACATAACACCTATGCATTACACTAAACCGGTTCTGTAAATAAAAGTAAGTACGATCGTAAACATAACTTGTAGACAAAGAGAAAACTCCAGTAATCCCGCTTTCCTCGTTTGATGGATGAGCAATCTATATAACTATATATTATTGGACATTTGATCAACAGCACCTGTCAAAAACGTCAATAGTTAATCTGTCAAAAATTGTGGTAAAAAATCAAGTAGTTGTTGAATTTAATGTTTACACCTTAAAATCTTGAAAGATTATTTACAGACTTTATCAAGTCGATAAACAAAGCGAACAGAATCGTGCCATAGTCCTAGATAAAACACTCACTGCCAGTCCTAGTCAAAAACGAACCGTAATAATTAGTCTGTGTTGTTTTTTTACAGCGCGTTTTTTTTTTAGACAAAATGTCGAAAAAATTTCAATACGAATGCGAATCTGTTGACTTAACCGAAGACGAAGACGATGGAGAGGAAGACAGTCGCGATTACGTAGCGGAATCACAGAAATTTTCACGAAGTTTAAGCATTCGATGTAATATTCCAAATTTAAATCAATCACCTTTGCCTCCTTTGATACCCATACCTCGAATTAGTGCGCCTAAAACTAGTAACGGTGCTAGTAGTGTTCCGACTCTCACGAAAATCCAGTCGCAGGGCGAAGCACCAAAGGTAGCAGATAGTCTTGCAAACACTAGGGATTTTGGAAGAAATGTGACGCTTGTTGAAAGTCCTCACAGTAAGAGATTCATTCTTACTTTTATATTATTTTTCAGCCTTTGCACTCCGAAGTAGTAATAGTAGTAGAGAGGGCCAAACCACTCTCTCAATACATGTACAAAATGTCAGCAATCCTATTGAAAATCGCCGCACTCGCATGAAAATCAGTAGCAATTGCTAAGAAATCATTGCAGTTTTACGAATTCTCCTACAGTCACTGAGCCTTCACTAGTAATAGTTAAAAATCAAGTGTAGTAGGTTAACATTTAACCTATTTGCCATTGTCGATGTAGGTGCTTTGACTAGGCCATCTAAGCAGTTTTTTTGTAAAATGAAACAAAATGCAGTTTATGTTTATCGAAAGTATCATTCCATGCATTTTAATTAAAGAACTATTAATTTAAATTTTGGAAATTTAAGGGCTCAAGTATTTTAAAGTTTCTTTTTTTTTGTGTTAGAATGTATTCCTAAGGTAACTCATAAATAAATTCAATAATTCTTGTTTGGCCCATTGCCATCAATTATTAATTTTAAAATGTAATTTTTGGCCCAGTTTATCATTTTTCTGATCTACTTTTATAGAATATAACAAGTTGGTCCAAAGTTGTCCCTTCCAACTAGATTTTTTTTTAAATGCATAATGAAATTGTTTGTATTTTATAGGGGGTTATTTATGTTTTAATTAAGGTTTTATTTATCTATCAATTAGCAATTGCTCAATTAAAATACAAGTTTAATGTATTTTACTTAAAAAAGATTGAATTTATTGACAGGATACATTTTTTTATGTTAAAAAGTGGAATTATTTCACAAACTATAGGGATGAAAAACACCCTGATTCACCCCTTTAGCGGTAGAATAATAGTTGGTAGATGCAGTGTTAGTATGAGTTTATTTAATTTAAGTAGGTATGTCTTATAAAGAGTGCTCCACAATAGTAGTTTATGCAACAAGAGTGGTTATAATAGCTACATGCAATACACACAATTTACTTGAGTCGTACAGTATACTTTTTCTACGACCCACTAATGAAATATTTATTAATTTATTAAATAAAATAAATTTTAAGAAATGAAAAAAGCTTATTTAATTAGTATTCTTCCTGGATTTGAACCCCGGACCACTCTCAGACAAACTTAGTACCCTATTTAGACAATTTATATAATTTCTTTAATACTGATAATTATATTTGTTATTCTTATAAATAGTTTTATTAAAATTTACCATATATTTGTAAATATACTCAAATATCTTGTGGAATCACTTATTTTTAATTATATTTAATCTCAATAAATAAAAAGATATAAATAAGGTTGACAAAATTGTCACTTATTTAAAATTTTAAAAATTAATATTAACCCAGTTTGCACATATGAACTGTGATTGGGATATTTCATATCCGTATGTCTCCTTACTACATAGAATGGGTATGAAATTATCCATTCATCAGAACATAATGAGGGCTACCTTTTTGTTCTATAGTTTGAGCATCTATGTATGTGTAGAATTTTTTTTTAAAGTAGGCCATGGCTATGAAATATATACGAATTGACACTTCAATCAAAGGAGATTTATGAATTTTTCCAAGGCCTACTTTTGAGAAACTTGTTTTGTGGATACTCCTTATTTTCTCAATGAAATACCTATTTCACTACTTCAGAAAATAATTTTCAAAAACTGGCACAAATCATCTTCCTTGAAAGCGCCATATCTCCCTAATATGCATTTTCGGAATAATGGTATTAGATTCGATGTAGGCCTTGACCTTTTCAGATCTATTATGGATAATCTTTGATCATTGGTTAACGTATTTTGCCTAGTTTGGTATTTTCTAGTAGAGTCCATAGACTAGGAAGAAGTTCTCCGGTGTAGCTAATTGCCTTTAGTTTTTGTTTTCCAAGTATAAGAAAAACTACTCCAAAATTTACGGCAAACAATTTTACACCACCTTGAATAATAATTTTATAAAAAAAAAAATAAGAATTTCAATCTGCAATGCTCTTTCATTACGTTCATTACAAAGATGCGAGAAAGAGAGTAATGACAGAGAAATATAATTTTTGCAAAGTCGCGGATTGAAAAGCATGTATTACAAGCTCCTCAAAATTTCAGATGCCTATACAAAATGTGTCTTATGTCTGTTTTTCTTAGATTAAAGAAATAAGATGGCCTCACAAATTTCACTTATTCATGCAATTGTATTATTTTCCTGTCACGCAAATTATCCATTTTTATTTTCCAACGCTAAATACCATCTAGCTACTAATTCTACTTCTACTTTGGCAAAAAATAGCTTTCATTCATACTTAATTAGTTTTAAATCGGTACATTTTATCTATCAACGAAAATAAAGTTAATTCAATAAACCAATTTTCACAACGTTTTCTTCATGTCTTGTACAAAATTTAGATTTGCTGATCTAACATTCGGCTGTTTTTTTTTTACTTGAAACCAATTGGAAAGCGATATAATATCGTAGAAATCTATCTAAATCATGTGGAAATCACCGCAATAACCAGAAATCTGTAGAAGTCATGTAGAAATAACTACAGTCATTCTGGAGTCACCATATGATTGTGGAAATCATATATGAATTCGGCAATACATGTACATTTATATAAAGAGTGGTTTACCCCTTGAGTAGTAGTTGGTTTTACAAAACAATCATCATATATTAATTGTTTTATATGAGTTAAATAATAACTGAAATTGATTGTTCTTTAATGCAATTCTTGCAATTACTAGAATTTTTTTCAGAGGTAAAATTTTATAAAAAAAACCTGCCAATAAGCATAAAGTAGTATGGCTTTAAAGGTAAATAGGTTTTATTTGATATAAAGGAAGAAGTGTAACAAAAATTTAGATTAAAACTCTGTTACAACAATGATAGAATGCATAGAATCCTGAAATCAATGATTAGTTTCTGAACGTTGTTGGATATATCCTCTGAATCTACCACTTCAAGTTTTTCTTGGCCTTCCTGTATAATTTTTAACGTATCAAATATCTAGGGTGACTGGTAAGTGGACGTATTCCTTTGAGGAGGTGAAAGTAGAGCCTATTTGCTACCGATTAAACATTATTTACCTCTATACCATTCTTAACGGTTTTCGATATTTTTTTTTATTATTAAGAGAGTCACTTCTTTGCGAAGCAAATATTTAAATTTAACGAATATAAAAAAACCTTTTTAAATGTCTCTTTTGCTGATACGCATACACAAATATCAACGGTAAAAATGATTGAAATACTAATGTTTGTTGAAATTACATTCAACATGTCCTATCTGCTAAATACTAGATAGACACTCCCTGTATAAACCTCCGCTTTTAGCAAACAAAAAGAATAAAATACTAGATAGACACTCCCTGTATAAACTAATTATCTAAAGTTGTGAAATAGTAAACCGGTTAACTTTCAAATACCCTTCGCAAACAATTAAAACTGAGTCGCGCGAGATTTTTTCACCCAATCATACGACAGTTCCTAAAAGTAATAATCTCGTACGCAAACATACGATTTAAGATAACCAATGAGAAAAAAGCCGGTAAAGCAGACGCGGGCTAGCAGGCTTACACGTAAAACGGAAACGAATCACTTTTCGCTTTGTCAGTCAAACCACCAACACGTAAAAACTTTTACAAAGCCGGCATTCACCGGTAAAATTAATTTCAAGCATTGTGCGAGTTGATTTACGAAAAATTAATATGTAATCGATCAATAGATTTAACAGATTTATGTAACCAATTAAAAAATGTGTAAAATGTGAAATCAGCAAGCAGTGAATATATCCAATTCAAATATAGGGTGATAGTTTTATTTGAATAAACCCAGTGATTCAACCAGAACGTCAAGAATATCTTCTAGAGGCTACAGGGTGGAGCATAAGGCCTCCCCCAGGTAATATAATACAATACAGTCCACCATGATCGAAGGCAGTATATGTCAAGCCCAATAAAGCCAGGGTAAGACATGTTAACTATAAATTATTTTGGTTTATACCTAACTTTTCTGGCCAAGTTTCTAACAAATGGTTCCTTTATGCTCAAAAATATCGAAAATTTCATAGTACATCAAATGTACAAATTATTGTTAAAATTGTCTTTAAAATAAGTCATATTATTTCAGAATTAGCTTTTTGTTTTTGACTAAATTTTTATTTGGAAGTACATTATTTTCTTATCGCATTTTGGTATGATACTTGCCAAGAAAGTTGGTATTTATCAATACACCATATGCATTACTTTTTTTGAATTCTAAACAATAAAATTTAGTTTCAGTTTATCTTCGAGAGTTTCGATCTAAACAGTTCTGATTAAAATCTTGGCCTTTTATTTACGGTATTTAAAATGGCATTGTTTTGTTATGCTGAATATGCTGATATTTATTTATGGTTTTTCTAATGTAAATGCAGCTGAATCTCAACGAGAATATGTACGTCGCTTCCCAAATAGGCACATTCCGCATGTGTGTTTGGTGCAACCTACCGTTGTATTTCAGAATCAGGCAGCCTTCAACGAGTAGAACGTGTAGGAGCTCCTCCTGCAGACGTCAATATTCATGGTGAAATTTTAAGACTACTTGAAGAAGATCCAAAAACAAGAACAAGAAAAATTTTCTGACAGCTGGGTATCTCACAATGGAAGGTCTGTTCAGTTGTTCATCAAAATGGTCTTCACCCATTTCATTATACACCTGTGCAAGGACTAGACGAGGGTGATCCGGCGCGCAGAGTCCAATACTGCTGATTTATTCTGAATGCAGATGTCGAGGATGCTACATTTTTAACGAGAATTCTATCGACTGATGAATCAAAATTTAGTAGAAAAGGAATAACAAACTTTCATAATTTGCACTATTGGACCGAAGATAATCCGCATCAGAAGAAACAAATTAATTTCCAAAGAAAATTTAGTGTCAATATATGGATGGGATGAGAGTTATTGGCAATAATTTAATTGGTCCTCAATTTTTACCTAATAACCTTAAGGGCGAAATTTATGAAGAATGTTTACGTAA